AAATTAACATATAGAAGCAATATAAATTTATTTAAAAAACAAAACTCTTTTTTCCTTATTTTTTTCTTTTTTGTTTAAAAAATGCTTTAATTTATTACATTTAGAAAATTATTTAAAAAACTGATCATTTGTTATGTTTTGTCATGTTTTGTTATGTTGCTATGGGCGATTTATCACAAATAATCAAAGTTAATTAAAAACAAAGCACTATAGGTTTTCAGTACCAAAATAATAAAGTAATTAAATGACTATGACATTGGTATAAAAACAAATTTAATGTTTACATCTTATACATAAACCATCTAATTCATAGAGCCATAAAAAAGTATTTATTTTCAAAAATCGGTAAACAATTTTTTTTTACTGAGTGAGTTTTCTCTGTTAACAATTTTTTTATAGGTAAAATATATCTCACACACATCTCAATTTCTATTAATCATTTTTGCATGAAATTCTCAGGGATTGTTCAACTGTATATAAGTGAGCACATGAACTAGAACCTCACTAATCCTTTAAGTATTTAAAGAACAATTCTATGGTCCTCTTTAAATTTTAGGATTTTAAATCATTATTCTTTAAAACCTAATTTTGTATTGTTGTTTGATCCATTTAAAAAAATTCTCTACAATTGTACAACGTTTTATGTGTAATTCAATACCCAGCCAACAAGGTAGGATTGGTCTGGGATCTGTATGCAAAAGAATAAGCTCAATATTTCATTTATTAATATTGAGGCAGATTTGAAAAAAGGATGATATTTAAAATAAAAATGGTTAATAGCTTAAGGATATTATGATAAAAACTTTTTTTAGTTATATTTATTTTACAATTTATAAATAATAACGTTATCATAACGTTGGTAATGTTATGATAAAAATGTAATTTAAAATTAAAGCTTTATCATAACATTGCTAATGTTATAATAAATTGATAAACAACAATAATAATGCAATTAATAAGATTCATTATAAATGCTTGCAATCCAAAAAACAAATTAAAAAAAAAAAAAAATTGCATTTATTAATTATGATGCTTAAAAAAAAGCATTTGATCATCATGTCATCATCAAGCATCATGTCATTTCCTGTTTTAAATTATGATAAATAACAATATTAGAGGGATGCTCAAGTGTTGAGACAAGTTTTGTTCATATTTTAAATAACAGGTCATTCAATAAGTCCATAGGATGACGCATAGATAGCGTCACTAAAATTTTTTCCATATGATTTTTATTTTGTACTCACTTTCAAATGATACGTGTATAAACTTGTCAGCAATCTCACTATTGATTCGTAAGTTATAGCATTTTGAAAGAAGCAACTTTTGTTATTGAAAAAAAAAAAAACGAAAAAAAGTGAATTTCCAGTTTTGATAAAGCATTGCTTTTTGATGAAGAAAAATACAGTGGAAACCAAACAATGGCTTGATAAACATTATCTGGACTCTGCTCCATCGAGACAAATGGTAGAGAAGTGGATTGTTAAAATTAAACCTGGTCATACCAGCACAAATGATGCAGAGCGCAGTGGATGCCCAAATGAGGCTGTTATTCAAGAAAACATCAAAAAAATCCATAAATTAGTTATGAACGATCGCAAATTGAAAGTACATGAGCTAGCTGACATTGTAAAGATATTAGATGGCAGATGGTTGTGTTTTTACCGTTTTACAAGAATATTTGGGTATGCGAAAGCTCTGTGCAAAGTGGCCGCCGCGTGAGCACACAGTTGACCAAAAAAAAAACAACAAATTGATGCTTAAGAAGAGTGTTTGGGGCTGTTAATCTGCAATAAAACTGAATTCTATCGTCGATATGTAAAAATGGATGAAACATGGCTTGACCATTATACACCAGAATCTAAAAGACAGTCATCTGAGTGGACAGCCAAATCCAAAGCAAGCAAAGACGCAACAGTCGGCGGGTAAGGTGATGGCTTCTGTATTTTAGGATGCAAATGAAATAATATTCATCGACTATCTCCAAAAAGGAACCACCATTAACGGCTGCTTACGGTGGATTGATTAAAGGCTGAAATCGCAAAGAAACGGCCACATTTGCAAAAGAAATAAGTGTTGTTTCACCAAGACAATACACAGTGTCACAAATCCAGGAAAACAATGGTAAAATTGAATGAATTGGGGTTCGAATTGCTTACCCACCCACCATATTCTCCAGATTTAGCCCCCAGCGATTTTTTCCTGTTTTCAGATCTCAAGAGAATGCTTGCTGGAAAGAAATTCAAGTCCAATGATGAAGTAACCGCTGAAACTGAGGCCTATTTTGACGAGAAAGAGAAATCGTACTATAAAAGTGGTATTGAAAAGTTGGAAAACCGCTATACTCGTTGTACCGCATTCAAAGGCAAATATGTTGAACAATAAAATCAAGTTTTGTCAAAAAAAAAATTTCTTGCTTATCCTACAGACTTATTGAATGACCTAAAAAAAAAAAAAAAAAAAGCTTAGAGAATAATTTTAGAGTTTGTTAAACTTATCAAAACAAATCAGTTATCAAGATATTAACAAAAAATATTTTCATGATAAATGGAATATTTTTTTTTTTGCAATGCAATACTTTTTTTTTTGAAATCTGAACTGATTAAAGCGTTCAACTTTGACATTAATAAAAATAAGTTTTGTTGTTAAAGTCTAAGTATATAATAATGTTTAGGTTTTTTGAATATTTTAAGAGTAAAAAAAACTTTTTTTTAAAAAAGATTTTCAACTTGCTAACTTGCTATTACTAAGAGAACTTTTTTTAACTATCAAAAGTTTCAAGAGAATTTAATACTGACTACAGCAGGGGGTTTGTTAAGAACAAGTCGTTTTAATAAAATCTAAAAACAAAAATAATATTTTTGGGATTAAGTGAAAAATATAAAAACAAATTTGTTAATGAAAACAAAATACTTTTTTTATTCTTTTTAAATAAAAATAGTTAATTAAAAAAAGCAAAAGTTTAGTTACAATTTTTATTTTTTCAAAAACATCTGAAAACTGAAACACTTAATAAACTGAAATGCAGAGAAAAGGTTTTATTATAATTGCAAATTAAAAAATGGAAAACCCCAGCTCATGCAAAAATCAAATTGTTTAAAACACCACTATGGTAAACACACCATTCATTAAACAAACCAGACATTTTTATAATTAAAAAAAAAATTAGCAGAAAGCCTAATAAGCTAAGAAACAGAGAAAAAAAATTACAAAATAAAAAAAGATAAAATTTTTTTTGTTAATATCTCAATAAATAATTTGTTTTGGTTAAATTGATTCACTCTAAATTTATTTTCTAAGGTTTATTTAAGATATGAACACAAGTTGCAATGACACTTCAGGATCTCTTTAAGTACTAACTTATATTTCTATGAGTTATCTAGATAAGACATTAGTTTTATAAAATAAAACAGATAAAAGTTATCATTTTACGTATAAATCACCTGAGGAATTAAATAGTGTTAACTAGTGATTTCTGAGAGGTTCTTTAATATGATGTGGAAATAGGGGTATAAATGAGCCTTCTTTCAAGAGAGCTCATTTATATCAGGTTTCTGGGAGACACCAAAAAAAGAATAACAATGTTCATATCTTCAATTAGTGAAAATATTTATAACTTTTTTGTTATTATTCTTTCTTTGGTGCTTTTTGTTTTATGTGTTGTTTTTAATTTTTTAACTTTCAAATGTTTTTGTAAATAAATTTAGTGTTGTATATGTTAATATTATAATTCTTTTATTATTTAAAGTTATATTTTTGAGTCAAATCAGAACATGGCTGTGAGTGAGTGTAAATAATGGGGAAGATGAAATTTGAATTGATGAATGAGAGTACATGATAAGGAATAAGATTTTTCTTATGGATATTGAATCTTAATAGTTAACAGCATTTAGAGTCAAGTGGTGTTATTGCTTTAAAGCTGTTACTTTTTTTGATTATCATTAGTGTTTTATAACTTTGTTTACTCAAATCCAACATGAGGTAATGTCATTGAACAGCACCAAAAAGGACAGCTGCATCACAACACCAACTGCAGGATCAACAACAGGTTGCCAAAAACAGGTAAACTGTTTATCAGTTTTTATAAATGATGGGCTTTATTGTTTTTTATATATATTTGCTTACACATTACAATTTTTATTTAGATTTATCATATGTATTAAGGTGGTATAGGAGAACAAAATTAACAATTGTCATGTTTTGTTTATTTGTAAATATTTGGTAAATTTGTTGAAAACATTTCAAAAACATTTCAAAAACTATTTTCAGGACAAAAGTCCTGAAAATAGTTCTGGTGCAAACTGACATGATGTCAGTTGTATATCATCTAAATAATCTATGATTTTAACTGGCAAATAGTTTAATAGCCTTCATTCTTTACTTTTAATGTAGATTTTATTGGTGTTTTTAAATTTACAATTGAAAGGCATTTTTTAAAAATAGATTTACATCCATTTTTTCTGGAGAGTTTTTAAAGAACCCCGAAAAATCTCAAAAAGAAACAAAATAAACAACAGAGTAAAAGCAATCATTGATAGTCAACCCCTGTGTTAATGTTTAATTACTTTGAATGTTTTAAATTTTAGAGTCTATGAGTCTTAAATTTTTTTTTTATTTTGTCATTTTTTTGTTATTATTTAAAGCCAAATGCTTTAAAATCCGATGGATACTTATTCTTTTTGTTGCCATTTTTTTATGGTTACCATAAAAAAAGATTTATTGTTATTCCTTTATTTCATAGATACTTATTTAAGTTATTATTCTAAATGTTAAACTAATTAGAAATCTAATTAAAATTATGTACACTATTTTAATTTTGTTTTTAACATTTTTTTAAATTTACAAAGAAAATTTATTTTAATTTTCATTATTAAATTTTACAAATTCTTCACCTATATTGCTTTTATAAATTTGAAAATGACAAATATATGTAAATATAGTTAATTTTAGTTATAACAACTATAAAAAAATAAGAAAAACTACAGAAATAGGAATTAAGGCACCTGAAAAGTTGGTCAACCTTTTTGAGTTCTTTATTATAAACTTTTTTTTGGTTGAAATTTCTTCCCTCTGTAAACGAGCGCATTCCGCACGAGCTTTGGAAGCAGCAGTTTGTTGAAATAGTGAACAGCTATTTTCAAAAAACAATCTGTATTCTTCTTCATTGTTTTCTGGATACAAACGCCTAAGTAAAAACAGCAACAATCAAATATTTCAAATATTTTTAAATATAATCTCATAAAATTATTTTCTAACCTAAAACCACCAATATGCTCATCTTCGTATTTGGTTAAATTTTTTAAATAATCTTCCATTTCTCTGCTTTCCTCAATGTCTCTAGCAGATTGAAAAAAAAAACAAAAAAACATTACACCAAACATTTATTCTTAAATTTCATAAATAAACAATTTTAAAATTATATTCTGTAATCTTCCTTTTTTGTTGTTGTTGTTAACACATTAAAAATAATAAAATATTAAAACAATATCACAATATTAAAAACACATGTTAAGGTATTTGAAAATTACATATAGAGGTAAAAAAATTGCTACTTTTTTATTAAATTACCTTTAAAAAAAAAAGAAGGTAAAAAAAAGAAGGTAAAAAAAAAATTGTAAATAAAACATAGAAAGAATTTAAAATAAAAGAAAAAAAGGAGATAGAAAAAAAAAAAAACAAAGAAAAAAAACAAAATAAAGAAAACTAACAAAAACAAAAAGGAAAAAAATAGAAAAGGAAATAAAATAAAATAAAGAACTAATAAATGATAAAAATATTAATAATTAACTTCAGAACATCAGCTACAAAAACTATCAAAAATTGTTATGAAAACAAGCAAAAGATTGAAAACAAAAAAGTTATTATTGATAAACTTGCAGAATTAGAAGATAAAAGTTGCTGAAACAACTTAAGAACCAATAGACTTGATGAAAATGAAAATGAAAATTGGCAAGAAATGGAGAGTAAAGTGAAAAACTTTGTGAAAAAAAAGCTAGGAATAAATAAAAACATCAAAATCGAAAGAGCACATCCAGTTGGAAGAAAAGAATTTAGCAAAAAAAAGAAGAAATAGAACAATCCTAGTAAAGTTTTTGAACTATAAAGATAAAAGCTCAATATTGGAAAATTATGTAAAAGCAAAACTTTGGCAACAAGGTCTATTCATCAATAAAGATTATTGCAAACAAACAATACAAATAAGAAAAAAGTTTACTGAAGCAAAGGAGTTACAATTGAAAGGCAAGTAAGCAAAAGATGTTTATAATAAATTAATAATGCAATTAACTAAGAAAAATTCCTTTATTTTAAAATTATCAAAACATAAAAGTTCTGAAATGGATTCAATTTAACAAAATAGTATTAAATTGAATTCACAAAATTTTCTTCAAACTAATGAATTTGAACTTGACGAAAAACTTAACCTTGATTTAAATTACTTTTATAATACAGGTGCTTTACAAAATAACTGCTCTTATTGTTGCTTATTATATAACTGCTGTTATTTTTATAATAATAAAATAAAGGAATTTCTACAGCAGGATCAAATTAATGTCTAAAATTTTTTTACAATAACTTAGAAGAAACATCAAATATTTTTAATGTAACATGCGTAACAGAAATGTGGTGCAACTCTGACGACACAGCATTGAATGCAAATCTGCATCTCTCAGACTTTAATATGGTCTCCCTTGCATGCAAAAAAAAAAAACAAGCGAGGTGGAGGTGTTCTTATTTATGTAAACAATAATTTGCAGTTTTTTATCAGGCCTGACATGAGTATTTCTGATGGCGGTAAAAGAGATTTTAACTATTGAAATTATTACCGAAAAAAATAAAAATATGATTTTAGGCTGCTGCTATCACCCACCATCAGGCCCAAATAAAAGATTTAACAAATTTTTAATTAATGATATCATAAAAAAAAGTTTTCATGAAAAAAAATTAAATTATTTATTTAGTGATATAAACTTAAATTTTTATGACTATTACATAAGTAACAATATTAAAAAGTTTTATAATGATTTGTTTGAAAATGGAGCAATTCTTTTAATAAATAAAACTACAAGGGTAACAAAAAAATCAGCTTCACTGACAGACAATATTATTACAACCGATACTTTAAATAAATTGCTTAAAAAAGGAATTATTAAAAGTGATTTATCTGATCATTATCCCATTTTTTTTCACTATTAATAGAACAACTGAATTATTACCTCTACAAAAACAAACAATTATAAAACAACTCATTAACAATAAAAACATTCTCTTATTTAAAGAGCAATTATCTTTGATAAATTTGAGCCTTATTAATACTATTGAACCAAACATGTACCAGTAATGATAAAATAAAAATGTGCTCTCTGCCCAAAGTTATTAAAATAAATGGGGAACTCTTAAATGATCCTATTAGAATAGCAAGGAAAATAAATAAGTATTTTGTATCAATTGAACCATAAGCTAAAAATATCCCTATTGTCACTAATTTAGCAAGTGACACCTCCTCTTCTTTAAACTCTTCTCTAAATACTTTTGAAACAAAATTTTAAGAATTGGAATTGGCCTACAAAATGATTAAACTTGATAAAGCAGTTGGAACAAACAATATTAATGGAAATATTGTTATTGGTTTTTATGACATTAAAAATATTCTTTTTAAAATTTTTAGTTACTCAATTAAACAAGTAATATTTCCAGATGCTCTCAAAATAGCAATTGGGCATATACTTGAGGAACTAAAAAATCTATTTTTTCTATTTCGTTAGTGATTTTATACTGTTGAATGAGGTCGCCCCTTTTTTGGCGCTCTTCTAGAGTGGTAAGATTGAGTATGGCCAGTCTTTCCTCATAGCTTTTGTGTTTTATCTCGCTTATCACCTTTGTTATTCGCTGTTGAATGCATTCAAGTGCTTTTATGTCACTTTTTAGGTGAGGAGACCAGGCTTGGATGGCATACTCGAGATGAGGTCTAATGTATGTTGTGTAACTATCACCCAATTTCAGTTCTCCCTGTTTTTTTTTAAATTTTGGAAAGAATTTTGTACAATAGAATATATAACTATCTAACTATAAATAAAATATTATACAAAAATCATTTTGGATTTAAAAAAATAATTCTACTGAACATACAATACTTCAACTTACTAGAAATATTGCAAATTCATTTGAAAAATCACAATATCCTCTAGGCATCTTCATAGACTTATCAAAAGCTTTTGACGCTATTGATCACAAAATTCTTTTTAAAAAACTACAACTCTATGGAATTGCAGAAAATGTATTACTATTATTAAAAAACTATTTAAAAAATCAGAAACAATTTGTTAAAGTAGATTCAACCTCATCATCAAATTTATTAAATATATCATGACCTTTGCTTTTTTTAATTTATGTTAATGATCTCTATAAATCATCAAACTTGACAACAATTATGTTTGCCGATGACACAAATTTTTTTTTTAACTGACAATGACTTACCAACATTATTCAACAAAATGAATAGTGAACTCACTAAAATTTCTAAGTGATTAAAGTCAAACAAAATATCAATAAATATTAAAAAAACTAAATGGATTCTCTTTTACCCAGCTTCAAAAAAAAATCTACTTTCGAACATACCTTCCTTGTTTATTGATTATACTGAAATAAAGAGAGCTATAGTTACTAATTTCTTGGATGTTTACATTGATGAAAACCTCACATGGAAAAATCATGTTAACAACCTAAACAATAAAATTGCTAGAAGTATAGGAATGCTATACAAATCAAGACCTTTTTTAAGTAAATATACTTTAATTCAATTATATTACTCATTTATTAATTGCCATTTTAATTATGCTAATATTGCATGGGGTGGTGTAAATAAAAGTACACTAAAACTTCTTTATCGCCATATTGCACATCTTATAAACTTTAAAGACCATTTTACTCATACCAGGCCTCTCTTACTTAAAATGAATATTCTTAATGTATATCAACTTAATGTATATAATATTCTTTGCTTTATGTATAAATGAAAAACTAACACTTCCCCTTATCCTTTTTATAAATTATACATAAATAAACAAACAAATACTATCTTCGAAATGAAAACTTTATCCAACAATTTTTTTTGCATACAAATTTTGGTAGATCTTGTATCTCTTATCGAGGAGCTTTTTTATGGAACAAAATATCTTTGAAATATTTTGATTTTACTTAAGAGTGGAACTACAACACATTTAAAAGCAAACTTAAACAGATAATTTTATCTACCGATAACATACTCTTATATTTTTAATTTTTATAAAATAAAATTTTTAAAATTCAATTTTTAGTATTTACATATATGAATGTTATATATCTTTTACGTTTATTTATTTTTACTTCCGACAAGAATATATATTTTTAACGCAATAAATGTAATGATGTAGTTGAAAAACAAAGCAGTTCTTGACAACAAGACCTTAAGGTCTTCTACGAGATCCCGCGTTTTTCCTCTTAATCTTATAATCATTCTATTATATTATTGAAATTATTATAAATGTAAAACAACTAATATTATAATCATTCTATTATATTATTGAAATTATTATAAATGTAAAACGACTAATATTGTAAAACATTTAAAGAAAAGACCAAAAAAAAAAATAGTAAAAAAAAAAAATAGAAAAAAATTAATAATTCCATTAATGAAAATAATAAAAACAATAATATGAATTAAAAAAAAAATATAAATAATAACTATAATATGATAACTTTAATAAAAATTATAACTTATGATAAAAACTATAGTAAAAATAATAGTAAAGTATGAATAGTTAATGACAGTAATTATAAAAATAAACAATATATTTTAATATATTTATATATGTTTTTCTCACTAACAAAATCAAAGTTCCCCTAGATATATAGTATAGAAAGAGCTTCATTTTAAACCCAACATTTTCATTTCATTATACTTTGACTTTTTAGTAGTAAAACTGAAAACAGATTCAGGGTTGTGTGTTTAGTCTATTTTATAAATGTTTTCATTCTTTAACATCTCTAAATATGTGTCAGATAACAGTTCAATATTTGAATGAATACATTGAAACCGAATTCAGCGCTTGAATAAATGCATCGAAACCTATTATAATTCAGCGTTTGAACAAAAGAAACCTGTACTTAATCAATGGTAAAAAGATTTTCATTTAAGACTTCAAGAACTTATTCAATTCAAAGATATTAATTTCAGATGAACAATCAGAAAGTTTTTAAGCAAAAAAAAAAAAAATTAAACAATACAATTAAAGATTGCCAATTAAAATTAGCTCTTTATGCTCAAATTCAAAATGAAAAAAAGAAAAAAAAACTAACTTTACATCCTTTTTACGATCTTTTGATTTTACAAGTCTTTCGTGTAACTGTTTTCTTTCATCTTCAAGACACTTTCTTTTATCATTCAATGAGAAGTTTGCAAGAACCAAAGTATCATAAACAACAGCATCTTTTATTTCACGATCAAGCTTTGAGTCTGTTGTAAAACTAGGTGAATGGTTAACCTAAAAAAAAAATCATTTTGTCATCATTAACATTATCCTCAAAATTAAAGCATAAAATGCTCTCTGTGATTTATGCACTTGTATGGGGGAAAAAAAAGAGGGAAATTTATGAAATAAACTCTTAAAATAAAAAATAAAAAAATGTTATAAAAAAACTATAAAACTACCTCCAAAATCCAAGGTTTGAGATTTCTATCTAATATAACATCAAATCCAAGAATTTCAAAACAAGCACTTCCTTTAACATTAGGAAAACATGTGAGATAGTTATGTTTAAGAACAGGATGGGCAGTAATTAGAGTCTTGATTATTATGTCCTAAACAATATGCAAAACTTATTATTAATGAAACAATTTTGTTAAAAACTTAGAATGTAAGCAAATAAAACTTACATCAATATTTTTCCAAATCTTTTTAACATCATACCCATTCTCTTGAAACCATCTGTTGATTGTTGATAATTTTCTTAATAAAAAACATTAGTCATTATGCTTTCATTTATATCTCCAATATATATATATATATATATATATATATATATATATATATATATATATATATATATATATATATATATATATATATATATATATATATATATATATATATATATATATATATATATATATATATATATATATATATCAATCCTCAATATGGCGCTTGTAGACCACATAATAAGATCCACATAGCTATGTCACTTACCTGGTATAAACTTTATCTTAAAAAAGTATGTGCAGGTCACATGTGATCATATGTTTATTAGAAGAGTAATTATTAGTAGAAGTGTGAAATTCTAATCTAGTTTATGATTAATATATAATTTGATGGTCAGTGTAGCCGAAGTTTGCCAATTTTAATTCTTAAAAAACCTGTAAAATTTTAATTCTTTAAAAACCTGTAAAAATACAACTACAGGCACAATATTTATCAAAGGCTGAAAGAAATTTCTTCAAAAACAGTAAAAATGAATCCTCTAGTAAACTTTAAAACCTCACTTTGAAACCCCATAAATCAGCCAAATAAAAAGATAATTACTCTATTCCTTTTTCTACTGAAAGTCTTTGGGATACAAAACTTTGCTTTCTATTTGGTATGTTCCTATAGGAACAAAACATTTTGAACAAAAACCACAAAAATAGTTATATTTTAATAAAAACATAAAAAATCTATGATAAAATTACAATGCGGTAGTGGTGTAGTGGTAGAGCGCTCGCTTCATAAACGAGTGGTTCCGAGTTCGATCCCCACCACGTCCCTGGTAGTACCGCGCTCAACTCGTTTCTCCGCGCAGCGGCCTTGTTCGTCAAGGTTCGTGTTTCGGAGTTATAGAGTTGAGAGAGGGTTATAGCCACAAAATAAGTAGCCTCCTCGTCTGTAGTGGCCTTCTCGGCCTTTAGGAGGTGAAGTATAATAAAAAAAAAAAAAAAAAAAAAAAAAAAATTATATCATTAAATGGTACATAGATAGGTATTTACCCATCATTTTATTCAAGCGACATATTTTTTTTTGATGATTTTAATTTTTATGCTAAATGAACCATAAGTGTCTTCTAGATTACTGGAAATATTGTCATTTGTTTGGTCCTCAGTTTGAGGGTTAGGGCTAAAATTGGCAAATTGTGTGACACACATAAAAAACACTTAATTTAATTCACATAATGCACATAATGTTCTCAAAGCATTGCACAAATTAACAACAACATAAATTCAAAGATCAAACTTAAAATCATCAATCAAAAATGGTCTTGAGAGGTACTGCTGACAAATCAAATTGGATTCTGGTTTGAAGTTCTAAAAATAAACATTTAATATCTAACTTTAATAACATAAGATGTAAGAAAACAAAAACAATACAAATCCTAATAAAGACAGAGTCGTCCAGAATTAGTCAGTATTGGTTACAAAAAAAAAATTAAAAAAAAAGACATGCCACTAAATGTGATATATTTAATTAAAAAAAAAAAAGACATGTCACTAAATGTGATATTTAGTAAAAACATGAAAAAACTAGATATACGACTATTTTATGGGCCATACATTAAAATAAATGATCTTGCTGCATTTTTAATTTTAACCATATTTTTAATATCTAATATATCTATATAGATATTTTTAATATCTAACTTTAATAACATAAGATGTAAGAAAACAAAAACAATACAAATCCTAATAAAGACAGAGTCGTCCAGAATTAGTCAGTATTGGTTACAAAAAAAAAATTAAAAAAAAAGACATGCCACTAAATGTGATATATTTAATTAAAAAAAAAAAAGACATGTCACTAAATGTGATATTTAGTAAAAACATGAAAAAACTAGATATACGACTATTTTATGGGCCATACATTAAAATAAATGATCTTGCTGCATTTTTAATTTTAACCATATTTTTAATTAAAAAGATAGTATTTTGAGACTTTATTGCAAAAATATTCCAATTCATGGTTTACAACTTTTATAATTTTTAGTAATTTTTGTTAGTCAGTTGAAGCCCAATGAATGTTATTATTTTACTTTCTTTTTTGTATGTAGCAAGATAGCTACATACAAAAAAAAAAATAAAAAAAATAAAGAAAAATATAAAAAAATATATTTTTATATATTTTCTTTCTTTTTTAATAAAGAAAAAGATTCTAAAATGGGCGACAATGAAAGCAAACCTCTATTATTATTGATTTATCTATTATTAACAATTTAATTTATAATTGGATTTCATATAAAACTTTTTTAGCTACTGTTCAAAGGCATTACAAAAATAAAAGATAAAGAGGTTAAAGAAGGCATCACTGTTTTATTATATAATCAGATTATGATAGTGTATAGAATGAATATAGAATGAACAAGTTAAAAATTTTATGAAAATGTTTTGCACAAATATATGTATTTATAAATAAAATTACAGAAATAGATAAATAAAAAAAGAAAAAGAAATAAAAAAAAATATAATATTTTGCTTTTTAAGTTTTAAAACTGATGCGGCCATGCATCCTCATTTGTATAAGAATAATTATATAAACAAGTCATTAAACTTGTTTATAAATGTTTTTCTTACACATAGCCCACGTGAATATGTGGTAACCATTCTTTTTTAATGTGACTTAGAACAGTTTAAGCATTATAGTCACACATGGACTGAACCAATGCTATCACTTAAAAGAGGAATGGTAAATATATGGCTGAAATATTCTTCCCACACCTGGCTAACACATAAATGTGATAGTAATATGTAGTGCAGTTTTTATTTTTATTTGATATTTATTTTCAGTGATATAAATATTGTAGCCAATCATGGACCACATGAATACCATCTCATAAAGTAGATTGGTAAGGATTAGGGATGTACTGGAATTCTGTTCCGACCGGAATCCTGGCCGGAAATTATGACTTTTAGGTTATTCCGGTTCTGCCCGGAATTATAATATTTCAGGATGGAATGCAGGAATTTATTTTTTACTTTATTTATTTAAGACATGTGACACAGATTGTGTAAATTAAATCAAAAAATGATTTTACTACAGGACAATGAAGAACTATGGGTAAAACTAGGAAAAAAAATGCAAAATTCTTAACAAATACAATATAAATTTAGCTAAAGCTGAAGTTTGGCGCTCTGAAACAATTTTGTTTTTTCACTTGTTGCGCTCTCGTTAGTGGAAAGTTTTTAAACATTAGAAATTTTATTTGAAATATTAAAAGAAAATAGATTGCTGCCATATGCTAAATCCTCAATCAACGTGGCAGCACTTCCTTGAAGAAGCAGGCTATAAGATGGTCGATGTAGCAACACTTTCTTGTAGCAGCAGGCTATAAGATAATGGATGTAGCAGCACTCCCTTGTAGCAGCAGGCTTTAAGATAGTCAATGTATATACTAAAGCCAATAAATATTCTTTATGTTTATATCAATAAGTCACCACTTTGAGCAAGTATCCACATGAAAGTGCAACAAGCGATAAAACAAAATTATTTTAGACCGCATATCTTTAGCTTTGCCTAATTTTATTTGCAGTAATCACTTATGTAAAGATTTCTGAAAGTTTAGGAATATTGTGGAGCAAAAAAAAAGCTATCCATTTTTGGGCAACAAACAATCTCTTTTTTCATCAAAAATGTTACCTGCCTCTGTCAATAGTCATTTTTAATGTTTCTTAACTTTTAAATAGTTAAAAAGTATAGGATGCCTAATACAGTAAATATTATATATATATATATATATATATATATATATATATATATATATATATATATATATATATATATATATATATATATATATATATATATATATATATATATATATTTATAATAGGCTATATATATTTTAGATTATAAATATATATTATGTAGACACAATGCTGAGGTGCAGGCTTTCACTTTAAATCTTGAAGGAAAACAACTATATAAATATAAATCTTTTTCTGGCTGAAATTTTTTCAACAATTCCGGCGAATCCGGTTCCAACCGGAATTCAAAATTTCCAATCCGGTACACCCCTAGTAAGAATATGGTCTACATATATATTATAGCCACATATCGACTACACTGATGCCATCCCATAAAGAAGAGTCATATATATATATGGTCAATGTGCAACAGCCATATATGGTTAACACAAAAATTTCGTCTCGGAATAATTGCATAAACAGTTTTTACGCTTTTACACAGTTAAAGTAACTAGTCTTTGGCTCACATTTATATCTGAAATGGTTAAAAAAATCTGAATTTTTTTAATAAGTTATTCAAATATTAAAAAATCAGATAAAAATAATAATTCTAATTTTTCCCAAATAAAGAAAAAAATGTTTTTTTTGGAAATATAGCTCTTTAATACATAATTTTATTCAAAATAGAATATCACCTTTTACTACCTGTTTCATTGTCACGACAATACCCTACACTATTTTTCTGAATAGCATAGTTAGTTAAATGCATAAAAACATTGTTCTAAAGAAAAAAAAATTAAACTTGCATGTAATTTATTGCATATATTTGCATGTAATATTTGCAAGCAATTTAATAAAAATTACTTGCAAACATTACATGCAAAATATTTGCATGTAATTTTTGCATGTAATTTTTAATAAAAATTTAATAAAAAGAAAAAGTTATTAAAATGCTCACAAGGTTATTTTTTGCAGGATAAGCATATTTTACTGTTGCAAACCTTGCAAGCCCGTCTTTATAAACAAAAATTCTCAATGGATCGCACGAAGTAACAACAACATAAATTCGAAGATCAAACTTAAAACCATCAATCAAAAATGGTCTTGAGAGGTACTGCTGACAAATCAAATTGGATTCTGGTTTAAAGTTCTAAAAATAAACATATCTTTAACACTTTAATAACATATGATGTAAGAAAACAAAAACAATACAAATCCTAATAAACACAGAGTCATCCAGAATTAGTCAGTATTTAGTCAATATTGGTCAAAAAAAAAAATTAAAAAAAAAATTCATCATTCTAACCAAAAATCGACTATTGATTTGGAATTATCTTTCACACCTTTTAATGCATACCTTTATTAAACATCAATTAATAACTAACATAATAGAATATTAACTAACATAAGTCAATATTGTTAACATTTAATAAACATATATATAAAAAAGATTAAAGCATATATTTCAAATCTTTTAAATTACTTTTAATCAGTGTCTGTTAAACATTTTAAAAATTGATTGATAGTATTTAATGCTGTAAACCTTTAACATTGCCTAATATATATGTATACATTAAAAAGATTAAAGCCTATGCCTAAGTTTACACAAATTTGTATAAAGTTTGAATACTTTTGATGATTTTGTTTGAATATATGAAAAAATGAAATACTTTAGACAATTTTGTTCAACTCATCTGAAAATTGTATTACCACGATTGAATATGTTTTTTAGAAGCCTTAAACATTTAAGTTTATAATTTTAAAAAATAATTTTTTTTTAATTACAAAAAGTTTTTGTTTGTAAAAAATTATTGCACCACAATTAATTTTGTGACATTTATTACTGAACAACACTGAAAACATTAAATAGGTAAATTATTGAAAATATATAATTATATATATATATATATATATATATATATATATATATATATATATATATATATATATATAAATATATATATAAATATATATATATATATATATAAATATATATATAAATATATATATAAATATATATATATATATATATATAAATATATATATATATATATATTTACATTTATATATATATATATATATATATATATATATATATATATATATATATATATATATATATATATATATATATATATATATATATATATATATATATATATATATATATATATATATATATATATATATTTACATTTATATATATATATATATATATATATATATATATATATATATATATATATATATATATGTATATATATATATATATATATATATGTATATATATATATATATATATATATATATATATATATATATATATATATATATATATATATATATATATATATATATATATATATATATATATATATATATATATATATATATATATATATATATATATATAGAGTCAGCAAAATTGAGTTTGGCATACAGCAATGCTGACGCAAAAGCCGACCTATCTTTGCTTTAGTACGGCATACAACTGCCGACATGAATATCCTAAAGTATTGGCATGCAAATTGAAATACATGTAAAAAATATATAATAATCGTAATTACTTGCTTTTCAAGTTAGATATGTTTTATTAAAACAAAAATTAATTAATTTTTTTTCAATTAATTTTTTCTTTTTTCTCAAATTTATTAAAGGATAGCAATGTTGAAAAATATTACTTTTTAAATGCCTGTTGTTCTCACGCTTTTTTAAGCGCAATTATTATTTTATTAAGTTATAAAATATAATTTTAATTTGTTTTATTAGTTAAAACCATTTAACTAATAAAATAATTTACATGTTTACGGTTTTTTAAATATTATTTAAGATCAGAAAGTATATTAGGAAAATTTTGCCTTGGTATAGTTATGTTAAACACATGCGGAGAAGAAACATTAGCAATAAAACTTTTTTTTTAATTTGATAGAAGTTAAGACTTCCATTAAATCGCAACAGACGCATCAGTAATGCAGTAAACAAGCTCAAAACAAGTCATAATGCCTAACAGAACTGTCATTGAAAAATGGGGGTTTAAATCCTGCGGATTTCAAACTGATGATTCAGGTGAAGTAATATAAAAACTCCGAATAGCCTCGGCAAGTGTAAAACTTGCCAAGACTATTCAGAGATTTTAAAAATTTTCATAGTAAAAATAAAGGCTGTGCTAAATTAGCAACAGAAACATTTGTACGGGGAACAGATATAAAAAAAAATAACTTGATGATGATTGGACAGAAAAATCTGATGAGAAAATTATGAAAATATGTCAATACGACAATCACCATTGCGCGGAAACAATGTTTGTATATAAGAAAAAAACTATTTTTAGTATTTTTAACTTTTGTTTTCCCTCCATCAATTTGCATATAGTTACAAGTTCATATTATAATACAATTAAATATTAAAAAACACCACCCCTACTACTTTAGAATTTAATGCTTATTTTTTGTAGAGGTTAAACAACCGGATGTAAATTATCTACTCATTTTGTTAAACCATTTGCCATTTTAAACAAAATCTTTTGCCTACAACATATAAACTAAATTTGTATTTCTTAACAACGTTCTTTCTACAAGCAATATAAAAAACCAATTAAAATGTAATAAATAAACTATGACCACTTTTTTTTTTAAAAACAACTTTGAAACTAAGGAATCACTAATTCATAAATATATACTTAATTTACTACACAAAATTAAATTGCTACATTATTTAAAATATTATTGTCTGAAGCTATCCTATTATAAAGCAATCCTTTTATAATTAATTAATCATTACCCCTATCATAACAGAAAGCAAAAAATCAAACTTTATTTTGCTGATCTGACGTCGGCTAAGGTCGACATAAGCGTGCCGACCTGAAATCCTTCGAATTTTGCTGACTGTATATATATATAATTATATAATTATACAATATATTAACATTTAGTATATAGTATTATTATTATATTATTATAGACATTAAGTAAGACTGATAAATGAAAGAATCCTTATATAAGTAATATTAATAATAATACCAATTCATAATATAAAATATGGATCTAAATTTAAACACTTTATATACGGTTGAATATAAACACTTTTATATGTTTAATAAATGTTTAATAATATACATCAGAAATACGTTTAAATCAGGATGTCTAATGGACATTTGTACCAAACCATATTCTGGATATTATTCTGAACAAATAATAAATTAAAACTAAATGCTTTGTCTATGTTGTTTTGACATTTAATAGATGTTAATGTGTTTATTGGGTTTATATTGCTGATATAGTGAAATCATAGTCAACCTTTAGATTTTTTGCTAAGTATATTCCTTTTCCTTGTGAGCCGCTATCTGGTTTAAAAATAAATGTTTTGTTCTTTTTCGCTCGACAAAATGTTAAAAAATCACCAAAGCTAATACCAAAAAATTAAATGTACAATAGAAAACAATATTTAATAATGATTTCAAGAAATTGTTTAAATAAAAATTCAAAAATAAATAAACAAATACAAAAAAATAATTAAAAAAACAAACTATATTATAATAAATTAATAGCTTAATATAGCATAATAAGCTAATAAATAATAGCTTAATAAAGCTAATAAAGCTTAATAAAGCTAATAAATAATAAAATAAGCTTAATAAATAATATAATAAATAAAAGCTTTATAAATAATAAAATAAATAATAAAATAAGCTTAATAAAGGTAATAAATAATAGCTTAATAAAGCATAATAAATTAATAGCTTTTTATATAAAACATATACTCAGCGGGAATGCACCAAGTTCTAGGAAATATTACAAAATCTTTAGGAAATTGCTTCCATAATCTGTTCATGTTACGAGCCAGAAGATCTTTACGACATATCTCACTCATGCCGGGGAAGTGATTGATTTTCTAAAAAAATGAATTTTTAAATACAATTTCTCTAAACAATATTATATTTAACTTAGCACACAAAATCTGAAAGATTTCAGGTTTGCACCTATAACATCAGGTCAGCAAAAGTAGATTTGCTTTTGATTTTTTGCACCCTGTTATGGAAAGGTTAATGATTAATTGGTTACAAAAGCATTGCTTATAATGACAATAGTATTTTAAAGAATGTAGCAATTAAACTTAATGTAAGTATATAGCAAACTTACTACGTAATATATGCACATAACTGACTATATCATAGTAGGCAGGAATCCTGATAATGTCATTCTAGCTGACCCAAGAACGCCACTTATATGGGGTGATAGCATACACATCAAGGTACCCTGTGATACAAAAATTTCTTTTAATTTAATTCATGGAAAATAATTTAATTTGAATGTTTAAATTAAGTGAAACTTTGACTTTATAATGTGACAATAAAAACACCTGATCATTGAGAACCACTACATACAATTTGATAAAAATTAGTGAAATGTAGCATATAGCTACAATCTGGATAAAATTTCAATCTGATTGGTTTACTGGTTAAGGATTTATGGCAGTTTTATTTTATGTTTTGTTAGTTATGTGCTATTTAAACCTCAAAGCGTTACTAATTACTGTGATATTCAATCACTTTTTTCAAAATAAAGGTTACATAAATGTTCTACTATGTAATATCAACAATTTTTGATATAATTATTTTTTTGCTACATGTACCATTTTTATTCTATAGACAAAAATATTGATTTGCTATATGAAACGTGGTTTGAATTGGCTTACGTCTAGCATAAATATCTCAATATTTCCTAAAAAATAAACTACTATCAAAATGCAATAAGAAAAAGTGCTAAAAAAGTGCAAAAACTAGCAAAATGACTATCAGATGGTAAAACAACGACTATCAATTGGTAAAACAAAAAAATGTTTCTTTTAAAATAACTTTTATTGACCCTTGAAACTTTCTTAAATATATTGACTTTCAAAATGAAGTAAAAAAATAAATATATAAACCCTATTTTTTACATTATATTACCATCAAATAGCATCTGATTAAATTTTAAGACATTTTTAGTTCTTGATTTTCTCCATAAGAAATTTATTCAAAATAGCTTGATATACTTGAAAAAATAGCTTGATATTGCTTGACATTCGTATCACTCCAGCTTCTGTATCTAAAGTGATTTCCTGCTCAGGCTAGTCTACAGCTTATGCCCCGGACAACATACAGCATGGGGCTCACAATGGCTGGTGAACTTTAATTCAGATAAAACTCAATTTTTTTTACCCAATTGTTATCACAATAATTTAGACCTTCCTATATTTATGAACGGTAACGTACTTGATGAGTTATCTGCCCTTCATCTTCTAGGATTAACTCTTACTTCCGATCTTTCTTGAAAACCATATATCAAATCCGTTGCAAAATTAGCATCTGCTAAGGTTGCATCTCTTTATTGAGCTTGACACTTTCTTACTCTGGATTCTATTCTCTATCTCTATAAATCTCAAATCTGGCCTTGTATGGAATACTGTTGCCATATCTTTGGCGGATCTTCTAATGATGCCCTTTCTCTTTTAGACAAGGTGCAAAAACACATTGTAAACACAGTTGGACCTGCTCTTGCAGCCAATCTCCAACAATTATCACATCGTCGTAATGTTGCTTCTCTTTCTCTTTTCTACAAATACTCTAATGGGCACTGCTCTAAAGAGCTAGCGCCTCTTGTGCCATCTACTAAAATTCATTCTCGTGTTACTCATCATTCAATTAAGTCTCATCCTTTTTCTGTGACTGTTCCTAAGTGCTCCAAAAACTCTTATTCCTCAATCTTTTTTCCTTGAACATCAGTTCTTTGGGATTCGCTTCCTTCATCTTGCTTTCCTGATTCATATAATTTACAATCTTTTAAGTCGGCTGTCAATCGTTATCTTGCTCCAAAATCTTCATCTTTTTTCTTCCAGTAACTTCTAACTCTAAATAGTGGTTGCTTGCCGCCTTGTTGGAAGCGACTAAAAGGGAATTTAAAAAAAAAAAAAAAATACTCTTTTAGTCAAATACTCTTTAATGTTTTTACATGCATAAAATTCACTAACAGCAATTAAGGATTAAAATGGTTAAAATATTCATTATAAACCATAAGCTATGATTTTCATTTTAAACATCGTCAGGCCCACTGATAATACTGATACCAACTGATTCCTTTTCTGTCTGTAATTTTTAAGTAACTGCAGGTGAAAAATAAATTAAGAGTTGAGTTAAAAAATTAAGCTCTTAAGAAATTCTTATAAAAAATTGCCTCTACCATCTTCCTGTTTGATGTTTGATTTTAATTATTTAATTGTACATTTACAAGAGCTAGAGTGGTCAATTTTGGAGCGCATGATAGTGGCTGGGCACTACTTTGACCTTAAACGAAAACATATATATTTTATCTTTATATTAAACTTTGTTCAGAAAGTTTGTTTAAAACTTTAAAATTATTCATTTTTATAGTGATAAGAAATCACTTCTTATCTCTTTGTTTAAAAATTTTCTTTGAATATATATATGTAAAAATTATTTAAGTATAAATATTTACCTGGGGTAATTGTAAGTGAAAGCCCATCAGTTGCATTAACAAGTCAAACAGGTTCTTAAGGGGATAATACTTTATTGGAAATAACTCAAGATAAAATTTGTTTGGCTGCTTTGGCATCTTTTGCTGCTAAAGATTGAAGATTTTCCCTGAACTTTATTTAAGAGCATTGGTGGGGCAAACCTTTTCCTAAAGGGCAGAAGCATGCGCTGCAACATACATTTGGTTCTTTCCTAATGGTGGTTTGCTTTTTATAAGAAAGTTTTTCTTGCAGCTTTGAACAACCAATTTGGCAGATTAGGCAATAACACATCGTGCCTCTTGTTTCAGGTCTCACATGGATTGAATTAAAATTAAACAAAGAAGGGAGTATAACTTCCTTCCCCTCTTGTTTCCTGTGCAAAATTATTCTACATGATTTGGAGAGTCTTTGTGGTACCTAAGAATCACTTATATTAATCTTTGTCTAGTACAGTTGGCATACTCTATCTGCTTTGAAAGCAGTAAACTGTCTTAAACACTTTTTCAGACAGAGCAAGCACACAAATTTTTGATTTTCATCATGAAACTTTGCTTGATTTGGCATTGTGGCAATACACCAAATCCAACTTCACTAATTAAATTTATATTAGATAACAATCCATTAACATAATTACAAATATTAATAACTTCAAGCGATTAAAATCATGAAAATAATTACACTTAAATTAAAAGAAAACAATTCTTACATAAATCTTTCCTTAAAAGGAAATAATTATCTAAATTAATGACACTTTTCATACTTATTTACAATTTAGATGAAATTTTATTTGATGACAGATACAAAAGATGTTTACAGCTCTTCAAAGAACTATTCTCGTTGATTTTTCTTTGACTGGCCCTCAAAACATTTTGTTTGTCAATTATTTTAGTTATCTCATCTAAATTTTTTATATTTTATTTTATGTAGGTATCTTGATAAAAGCTTTTTGACCATTTGCTAACATTTTCATGCGTTTTTACAGTAGTTTATACCTTGAAAAATGCTGATATTTTGATGCAATACATAAGCCAAGTCAATTCGTGCTTAAAATAGCAAATGAAAATGAAAATGGTAGTTGTAGCAATAAAAAAATTATTACAAAAATTGTTGGTATTACATTGTAATTAGTGTAAATAATTTCATTATATATAAACTATTATTGTGTTGCGTCAGAAGGAACATTGTGGGTGCGTCATATATTTTATTGTATATAATGTTTATAATGTTTATTATACCCTTGGGGGTATTTGAAAATGAGATAATTAATTTAAAGAAAACATACCTGCAGATTCTTGTTGACAAAGCATTATGGAAATATCAAGTTGTGGAATATGAAGGGCAGCGATACTGTCTAACTAGATTGGGTTTTGGTTTAATTGTGGCGTCCAGAATAATGATTAAAATCTTAAAAAGGTATTATCATTAGACAAAAATGACAAGTCTAGATCGGATTTATTTATTGATGACATCATTGTCAATAATAACATAGTGTCAAGCTGCAGAGTTCAAAAACTTATTAAAAAAATATGGCTTGGATTCTAAATTGCCAGAAAAACTTGTCAGTGGTCATGTGCTTGGATTGTGAGTATACAAACAATGCAAACAAATCCATTGGAAACATGAAAACATACCCAAAGTTCCTGAAGGAAAAATGACACATCTGCAAATCTTTTCTTGGTATGGACAGCTGACCGGACATTTTCTAATAGAAAAAGTGTTTCGAGTAGTTGTGGATGGGACTCCTTGGTGAATGAACATGTTATCAAATAAGTAAGCAGTTTAAATGAAAGACTTACAAAAGAAGATCCTGTTCATGGGTCATGGAATGTCAAAAACACTTCTGAAGCAACAGTGTGGTACGATGCAAGCATTTAGCTGTTGGCATAGCTCTGGAAGTGGCTGGGGAAATAATAAAAGACTATTCATGGCTGAGGAAACAAAGCGATACTGCTCACATTAATCTTGCAGAGTTAGAAGCCGTGATAAAAGGAATTAATCTAGCAACAAAATGGGGACTCGAATGTATTGCCATAAAGTGTGATTCAGCTACTGTTGTCGGCTGGTTAAACTGCTTAATCATCGGTGACAAACCCCTTTGAGTACATGGTCTTGGAGAACTACTTGTCTGTTGCCGGTTGTCATTAATTGAAGACCTTGTGAAGGAGTGTGGGATAAAAATAAAACTTTTTCTGGTTAAGTCAGCAGAAAATAAAGCCGATGTTCTTATGAGGTACCACAGAACTGGCTGCATTCAAACCATTCTGTATTGACAGCAAATGACATACTGCCTGATGTGAAATCGTTTCATAATCTTCATCACTTTGGAGTCAATTGAACCCTTTATCTGATAAAACAGACATATCCAAAGAAGAAAGTTTGTAGAAAAGACGTTGAATCAGTCATAAAAAGTTGCAAAAGATATTTATTGGTGGATCATGCGCCAATTAGGTAGAAAGAAGGAAATCTTGAAGTTGGAAAGAGCTGGCACTGTTTAGCTGTTTTATTTGCAATTTGGAGAATGCTACTGAATGAGATAAAAAACAACGGTTTGCTTCCATTTAGAAAAAATATTCCAAGAAAGAGGACCTCCGTGGCAAGTTCTACTTGACAACAGCAAGACTTTTTGCTGAAAACTCGTTGGTGAGTTATGCGCAGAATGGGGAGTGTCCATCCTGTTTCATTGCGCTTACAGGCCATCTAGAAATGGAATTGTTGAACAACATCGCACAATCAAGCATATGGCAGCCGGAAGTGCAAAGATCCATTAAAGATGGTATATTAGCATTAAGTGGCTCCCAGAAAAAATGGTGAGGAAACCACAAACAATTTCTGCCCAAAAAAACAAGGAAATTCTCCACAACTATACACAAGGACAAGATGTATTTGTAAAACCACCTGACTCAAAATGTACCAACAAATGGAACAGAGAAAGAGTTTCAGATGCAGGACAAGGAGTTTTGGTAGAAATTAATTGGCTGCCAAGACACATGTTGGACGCCCATCCTGCTCCCATTATAGCTGACTTGTCTACTGGAGAATCGGAAGTACCCATTGTGGATAATTTGAATCTCAGAAGATCAATGTGAGTATAGAAGTTTTCAAGTAAGTATGCGGACTTTGTGTTCTAGAGATCAAGGGGTGTTATAATTAGTGTAAATAATTTTATTATATATAGACTATTATTGTGTTGCGTCAGAAGGAACGTTGCGGGTGCGTCATATATTACATTGTATGTAACGTTTATAATGTTTATTATACCATCAGGGGTATTTTATATATTGAGAAAAGATATTTACGAAGACAGAAAAAAACAACAACAACTTATTATTACATACATAGTACAACACTCATGAAACTATTATTTTGAAAATAGTGGCTAAATATCACAACAATTGGTAATGCTTTAAGGTCTAAGTAGCAAAAAAATAACAAAATATAGGCCATAAATCCTAAACCAATCCAGCTGAAATTTTATCCAGAGTTTGGTGCGGCCATATGCTACATTTACACCAATTTTAATAAAATTATATGCAGTGGTTCTCATTCAACAGATGTTCTTATTTTCGCACTTTAAAGTCAAAATTTCACTTAATTTGAACATTCAAATTAAATTATTTTTTGTGGACAAAATTAAAAGATTTCAAAATTTGCATAAGTGCCTTGATTACAGGATTTAAACCCCCATTTTTTAATAAATATCCTGATTGACATATTATGACTTGTTTAGAATTTTTTTTGTGAAACACTGTAGCATTTTTTACTTTTAACAGCTTTCTTAAAAAACTTGTTTTAAATTAAAAAAAAGTTTAATACGTTTCTTAACTATTATGCTTTTTAAATACCATGTTTCTTATCTACATGTATTTATCATAACTTAACTATATTAAGATTAAACTTTCTTAAATAATACTAAAATAATACTAAATAATACTTAAATAATACTTAAATAATAATATATATAATACTTAAATATTATTGTTAAAATAAAATATTTGTTAAAATGTAAACCAACGATTTTACCTTACAAAATAAATTATTAGTAGATTTAAAACCTACAAAACATATTAATGAAATTGAAAACAACAGACATTGAAAAAGTTTAATTTTTGTTTAACTTTTGATGAATTAATGATTCTTAATTTCAGTCATAACTTGCTAAGGTTGTTATGAATGAAGTTAGAAAAAAAGAAAAAGAAATTGAAAAAAATATGAAAATTTTTTTTAATAATAAGATTTGTCTAATTTGAAAAAACAAATAATTATAATGAATTTTTTAAATTTTTTTACTATTATTTTTCAACATCATCACTTCCAACAAGGCTGCAAGCAACCGCTATTAGAGTTGGAAGTTACTCAAAAAGAAAAGATGAAGTTTATAAAACAAGATAACAGTTAACAGACAACTTAAAAGATTGCAAACTATATGAATCAGAAAAACAAGATGAAGGAAGCGAATTCTAAAGGACTGCTGTTCGAAGAAAAAAACTAGATGAATAAGAATTTTTGGAGCACTTAGCAACAGTCACAGTAAAAGTATGACACTTTTTTCTGATTGAGTGATGAGTAACACTAGAATGAATTTAGTAGATGGAACAAGAGACACTAGCTCTTTAGAGCTTATTATAGTGTTAATAAAAAAGAGAAAGAGAAGCAACATCTTGACAATGTGACAGTGGTTGAAGGTTGGCTGGAAGAGTAGGTTCAAATATGTTTACAATACATTTTTGCAACTTGTTTGTAAGAAAAAGGGCATAGTTTGAAAATTCTCTCTAGATATGGCAACAGTATTCCATACAAGGACGGATTAGAGATTTGTAGAGATAAAGAATAGAATCCGAAGTATGAAAGTGGCAAGCACGATAAAGAGATGCAACCTTAGTAAATGCTAAATTTGCAATGGACTTTATATATGGTTTCCAATAAAAGTTGGAAGTAAGAGTTAATCCTAGAAGACAAAGAATGGATGACTAATCAAGTACAATAGCATTCATAAATAAAAGCTGAAAAAAATTGAGTTTTTTCTAAGTTAAAGTTCACAAGTCACTAAAAAAAGTGAGATCCTTTTTTAAGCTCAAATACCCCCTCCAAGCAATCAGAGAGTGTTGGCTTCTTATCAGGATAAGAATCCAACACAGGAAACACAGGAAATGAAGAGTGTTGTCTATCAGAGAAAACTATTATACTAAGATTGGTAAGGAAGGATTTAATAATCTTAAAGATGTTATCTGATAAGCACTTGTTAAATAGTTTTGAAAATATAAACAACAGCTCTGGAGAACACTTCTGCAAGAATAACAGGTATGTTATCTGGACCACAAGCTGTAGAAGAGTCTAAGCAGGAAATCACTTTAGATACAGAAACAGGAGTGATACAAATTTCAACCAATCGATCAACCTGTTTTACTGCTATATCAGGTAGGATGTGATTAGTGGAGTCAAGAGATGAGGTTGAGTAAAAGTTTTTTGCAAACAATTCAGCTTTGTTGTTAGATGAGGGAACAAATTCTGAACCATACAAATAAGGTAGAATACCAGATTGGCCCTTATTATAGACACTATTAAAAAATCTCCAGAAGTCTCAGGAGCTGAATTTTTTAGATAAAATACAAGATTTTGTGACCTGAGAATAGCGGGCTTTGGCGTTAGACAATACCTTTTAACAATGGTTTCTAGCAATAGGAAACAGACGCTTGTTTTCTGGAGAATTAATTTGGTGATATATATTGAAGTAATGGTTATGATTTAAAACTGCAGCAGTACAATGAAGGGAAAACCATGGAGAAGTGCGAGGCTTTATTTGGCATTGTCAAGATGGAATAAAAGACTCCATACTAACTTGAATCCAAGAAGTTACATAAAAAGCACATTTGTCAGCAGGAAGAAGAAAGATTTCTACCAAAGAGCCATCACAAAGACAATCATGGAAAGAGTCCCAGTCAGCTTTAAGGTAGTCGTAAGACTGTCTGCAGAGCCACTGACACTAGAGCCAAGTCAATCATTAAAGTCACCAACAACAACAAAATTGGATTAAGTATAAAGAGAAAGGACTTGGTCAATTTGATCAGAAATAACGTCAAATACAGTGCAGTTTTTAGATAAAGGAGAGCAATATAGAACAAAGAGAAAAGTGATGTGTGAAGTGGTGCTAAAGAAACTAATTGGTGCTAAACAAAAGCAAAAAATAGTCTTTGGATTCAAATCTAGTTTCCAAACAAATAGGTGAATTTTTACAAATGTAAATGCCCAGGCCAAGCATGTAACTATTGGAGTCTTTACAAATTAAAATAAGATAACAATCAACACTAAGATCACAAGATGAGACAGTGGAATTAAAATTGTCTCACAAAGAGCAAGTGGGTTTAGTGAACTTTGCAAGAGATAAGACTCAACAGAAAAAAAGTTACTTTAGTAAAAAGTTACTAATAAATTAGGAACTCATATTGAAAGAATTATATTTTTTAAATATGTTTATTTTTGCATGCCAACAATTTTAGTGATTTAGGTCGGCATATGTACCCCACAGTAAAGCAAATATAGATCCACATTCCAAATTTATAATCTATACAAAGTAAATAATAGCATAAAAAAAACATAAGAAAAACAAACTAAAATGGCATTTAATAAATCAAAGTTTATCTCTAAACTTTTGAAACTTGATGTAAACAAAGATGTAAATAAAGCATTCCAAAATATCATAAAGAACAACCTATTGTATTATGTTGTGAATTGTTGAGCTACAAGTTATGGTGTGCTTGTGTTATGAACAAAAGTTTTGCATAAGATTTAAAGTATAAGTATTAAGTTATTTGAAGTTTATAATGAACAGTACACATATGACTAACTCATTCACAATTAACAAATTCTTAGTAAACATTTGGTAATAGAACCTATGATTTTGATTTTTTGATGTTGCTATCTACAACCTGTTTAGCAATAGAATCTTTATTGTCAAACACTTTTGCATTAAAGTCAATTTTCAGATACAAAAAACACGTGAAATGTATGAAAATAGAACTGACTGATGGAGTTCTGTTTGAACACAGAAAATACTCATTGAATTGTCTGTTGTACAAATAAGAGAACTATTGAATGGCTTGTGCCGTAAAAAAAGCTTACAGCAAACAATAAAGTTTTAAGTAATGGGACAAATAAAAATAAACTCGATTTTAAAATAAAGAAATAAACTGCTGGAACTATAACAAAACTTTGAAAAATAAAAGAAAAAAAGGAAAAATCAGAATAAAAAAAAACATAACTTAATTATAAATAAAAAACAAACAATTTTGGTTTCAAAAGCTAACAAAAGTTGTTATTAACTTATCTTTTATTAACTGTTTAACTTGTCAAGAGTGGTGACATCAATACAAACCTGATATTTTTTCATATTAAAAACTTTTTCAAAACTAACAGAGCAGTCTGTCCACAATAATGTCCAATCGTCAGTATCTTCAACTTCTTGAAAACCAAATTTTTTAGCAGCTCTTCGCACTGAATATGAAAATTAACTTGCAATAAAAAAGATTGTATATATTTTTTATGTTACACATAAAAAATGTATACATTCATCATCATCATCATCATCATCATCATCATCATCATCATCATCATCATCATCATCATCATCATCATCATCATCATCATCATCATCATCATCATCATCATCATCATCATCATCATCATCATCATCATAATCATCATCATCATCATCATCATCACCATCATCATCATCATAATCTGGGATGAGATTTATTTATATATGCATCTTTCTCCAAAAAAGTAGCAATATACTGTCCCCACTAATTTTTTTTTTCTAGTTAGTACTATTTATACTTTGAACCAGTGCAAATAACTAATATACAGCTAATACAATGTTAAACTGATAATAACCAATCCAAAATAGTATTTTAAATGAATAAATAATGTTCCACAGACTGTGACAAGTCACGTCCATGAAATGTCACCACCCAGACTTTTTGCTAATCCTAAGAAGTTTACACCTTGTTGCTAGTACTTTACTTTTATTTTGATATATAATAAATATATCAAGAATACATTAAAATTAGAGTTGACATAATATTTTCCTCAAAACATATTTTTAAAGTAATTTTTATGTATGAAGCTTTTGTCACCACCTTAAATGTCACATCTGTGGATAGAGTAACTAATTCCAAAAAAAAGCTGTAGGAGGCAGCAGTAGTTCTCTATGTTGCTGTTCTAGCTAAACTACCAGACATTTTTATTAATGAGTAATAGTGGGGGAATTTTTGGTGTAGTTGTTTAGTGCTTGATAAGTGTTGAAGTTTTAAACGTTAAATTTGTTAGTCTTAGTGTGTCACATCTGTGGCAAACATACTCAGGATAAATAATTTTACTTATTTATAAGCAATACTTGTGTTTAAAAGCAATTACCTACGCATATTTACTCCAAGGGGAACAGAGTCTTAGCCTCAAAACATAGCACTCCTTTTAGGATTTTATCTTCAATTTGTCACGTCTGTGGATGTCACGTCTGTGGAGTACAGAAAGCAACAGACGTGACACACATGGAACAGATGTGACAACAAATGACAATTTTACCTGTAACTGAATTTTAGTGCCTATTTTTAGCATTTTTAACATTTTAAAACTTTGCTCATATAGCTAATTAATTATTATTGAAAAGATAAATGTTTCTATCCAGATAGTTATAATTTTTTCTTTACTTACAGTTAACAAAAATGGGAAAGATAGAAAAAACTAGAGAATTGAAAAAACTTAGTATGCCAAAAGCGTGGGAGAAGATGAAAGCTGAAAACCCGAACAAATATAAAGAACAAAAATGGAAAAATAGAGAAAGAAAAAAAGCATCACGAAAGAAAATTCATGAACTTTCAGAAAAGGATAAAAGAGCAGTAAGAAAAGGTTGGAATAAAAGGACCAAGAGAAGTCGGGAAATGAAAAAGAAGAGACAGCAATTTATTGAAAGTTTGTCTACACCACCTAAAAGCCCAACTGTAAATATTCCAATCGAAAATGAAATAGGCATAAATGTTCTTCCTGGTCCCAGTCAGGAATCTAGTTCCAGAAAACGAAGCGGGCTAAAAGCTCGTAGAAAATATAGAGATGGGTTGAAGAAAAAAATCCAAAAATTAGAAGAAAAAAACAATTTGTTAAAGCAAAAAGGTGATAAAAAAAAACAAACAAAAATTCTACAGACTGCGATATGCAAAAGATAATACTCCTCAAAAGGTAGTTAAATAAAATGACCAGTGATACAAAATGCTCTAAGGAAATAAAGAAAAGCTTGCTTTATAGCGAAGTGTTAAAGACACAAATACAATCAAATTTTTCTACTGAGTTGTATTGACAAAAAAAAGGATTTTGCCAGGGTATTAAACAAAAAAGATAATAAAGAAGTACAGACTTTAAAGAAGCCTAAAAAATCTTACTTCAAGATATATTTTACCATACAACTTGAATCAGCCCTCAAATGTACTGAAAACAACAGGCTTACTGCTGGGAAAAAAGAAACAATAACAAAAAACAAAGTGAAAAAACAAAAAAGACTATTAAATGATACGATGTTGAATTTGTAGAAGGAGTTCAAACAAACAACTAAGTTTAAGTCAACGTCTTATAGCACATTTTGCAAATTAAGACCCTTTTGGGTTGTTCAATCAGACTTCGTAAACGAGATACTTATCTATGTATTGACCATTAGAATTTTTCTTTGATTCTTGAAAAGTTGTATAGTTTTAGGATGTTGGCATATAAATATCCTACTGAACTGCTAAAAAGTATAACATGTGACAGCAAGCTGAGACAATCATGCCTGGAAAGAAAATGTGGAGTATGCCTTTTAAACAAAAAAATAGTTTGTAAAGAATTTGAGAATGATATGAATGAAAAAGTAACATTTCCACAATGGTCTAAAAAAAGTGTTGAACTTGTGGTAAAAGATAAAATGAAGACATGTTTTAAAACTGTAAAAGAAGAGTTAACATTAACTAAAAAAGAGTTGTTCTTGCATTTTATTAACAACTTACTGGAAAAGTTTATGAAGCATGTATGCAATATAAAAAACCAGTACAAAGCTATATCAGAAATAAAAAATAAGTTAGGGCCTAGGGATATTTTCATTCATTGTGACATTTCAGAAAAATACAATTGCAAATACTCAAAAGAAATCCAATTACTCCACTTTGGCAGATCAAGAAACCAAGTGTCAATCCATACAGTTATGGCATACTATTGTAGTATCTCTGAAAACAAAATAAAGGCAAAATCTTACTGTACAATTTCAGATACCAGGCGTCATGACTTTGTTGGAACCTGTGTGCATTTAAAGCCTGTTATTAATGACTTAAAAGAAAGGCTGTTTGTCATTGAAACAGTTCATTTCCTTAGTGATAGTACTTCTCAACAGTACCAAAACAAGTCCATGTTCTATTTGGTTGGTACTTTTTTTCAAAAAGAGTTTGGAGCTATAACTATAAGGTGGCATTTTACAGAAAAGGGGCACAGAAAAGGTGCCCCTGATGGAATAGGAGGTTGTATCAAAAGAACCGCAGACAGATTGATTGGACAAGGGAAAGATATTCCTGATATAAATTATTTGGTTGAAGAAATAAAAGAAAAGTGTCCAAGTATATTATTTTATAGGGAAGATATATATTTCATAGGGAAATTTACAAGTTCATGAGGTGGTTTGGAGTTCCACTAAAAAAGAAACATTGTATATGAGAAGGCTAACATGCACTGAATGTGACAATGATACAAAATGCAAACACAATAGTATTGGAGAAGTACTAATCCATGTGGATTTTTTGACGGATCTTTATCCTCGTATCCTTTTAATGTATAGCTTTTAAAAACTTAAGTTTGCTTATATTGAATATTGTATTATATGGAACAAAATATTGAATATTATATTTGCTTATATCGAATATTGCAAACTTTTGCATTTCTTAAATGTTCTCCAGTTATTTAATCAGTAAAAATATTTTAATAATATTGAGTTTTTCAGTTACTCTAGTAGTTTCATTAAAGAATAAAATGAGCTGTGCATGAAATCTTTATTGTAAAATAGTTATTTAACTTGTTTCTGTTTCATTCAGGGGTGTGGAGTCGTAAAAAAAAAGTAACGACTTCAACTTTAGTTGTTGAAATTTTTTGAGTACAACTCCGACTCTGACTCTGACTCCAACTCTGACTCCAACTCCTAAGCAAAATTCTTTGAATTCTTTAAAAAATATTGCCCGGTAAGTTGAAATTTTTTTTTTGACAAATTTATGAAACATTCTTTGAAGTTTAGTATGAACGTAAGGTTAATTGAATGTTTTGTACATGCACGTGCAATACCAAGAAATTTTACTATCGGAGTCAGAGTCGCGATATTTTTTAGTGACTCCGACTTCGATAAAATTGTCGCAACTCCGCAACCTGTCCGACTCCACAGCCCTGGTTTCATTAATAATTTGTTGTGCCTCTGTTTTAAGAAATTTCTTACATAGTTTAGCAGGTCAACAATTTTTGAAAATGAAAAAAACGCCAGCTGAAGAAACAACATCCAAATGTTTGGCTCAAGAATCCCAAGGACCGGGTAAATGTGAAAAGAAATTGACAAGACTAAGTAACCACAGTGTTTACAGCAATAATGAGGAGGACAGCTTGTCTATTAAAATCAATGTTTTTGTGATTGTCAAGTTTCAAACATAAAAAAAAAAAGTGAAATACTATGTTGGGCTAATTCAAGCCTTAGGTGCAGATGAGTTTGTCATAAAGTTTTTGAGAAGATTTGGCCAGGAATTTTTTACGTTTCCAGAGAAAGATGACATCTCTGTCATTGATAAGAGTGATGTAGTGCTGAGATTGTGCCAGCCTAACCTCAATAACAGGGGGCAATATTGTTTTCCACAAGACTTACCATTCAAAAATATTTGCTAATTTACTTATTAATAATACATAAAAATTTGTAAAAACTTGTACCATGTACTATTTTATCTTAACTATTAAAAACTGTTGATTAAAGATGTTATTATTTTTGTAAACTACCTGACAGACACTTATAGCTGTTACAGCATAAAGCGATACTATTCATAATGTCACGTCTGTGGTAAATTTGTCACACCTGAGGATTACGCTAAAAGTTTAAATTTTTTTTTTTGTAAACTGACTTTTAATGAGGTGTGCAGATACTTACATACGATTAAATATACTCAAAGCTATAACAGCAAAAAATTTGGTTCCGAAATTTTAATATATAAATTTTATAAAAATATTTATTGAAAATGTTACTTTTCAGGAGAATGACCCATATATTTGTATTTAATCAAATACATTTGATTAAACACAAATATATATACTTTAATTCTAGATTTTCAACACAAATACAAATTCAAATATTTGTACTTCATGTAAAGAAAAAATACAAAGAATTTTTTAGGACAAGACTGATAAAATGAAATACTAAATAAAATGACATACTAAATAAAATGACATACTAAATAAAATGACATACTAAATAAAATGACATACTAAATAAAATGACATACTAAATAAAATGACATACTAAATAAAATGACATACTAAATAAAATGACATACTAAATAAAATGACATACTAAATAAAATGACATACTAAATAAAATGACATACTAAATAAAATGACATACTAAATAAAATGACATACTAAATAAAATGACATACTAAATAAAATGGCATACTAAATAAAATGACATACTAAATAAAATGACATACTAAATAAAATGACATACTAAATAAAACTAAATAAAAGAATAAAAACAAGTTCAAGTCCAACAAAAATCCCTTAAAAACAAAATTTTAATTCATTTTAGTGTTAAAAATGAAAAAAACAAACATAAACAATCTCTTGGTTTTTCTCCAGAAAATACTGGTTAAAGTAGTTTATGGAACTTATGGAAAATTTGTGGAATTTATGGAAAGTTTATGGAGTTTATGGAAAGTAGTTTATGGAATAAAGTAGTTTATGAAATTTCCATCAAACACAAATATTTAAGAAAATTTTTAATCAAATACAATGCAAACACAATTGTGTCTTTTTTTACCAAATACAAATAATACTTATTTGACTGCAGCCCTGGTCATCATCTCAGAGATACGACTGATACAGCTGGTGGTGATCAAATGAGGCATCAATAGCAAAGAGTAAGATGTGCCAAGTTTAGTGAATTATCTTCATTTTCGAAAATAAAAGAATGACTGTTAAAGATTGGGAAAAACTGGTATACCACATGATTCCATGTTATGATATATGATACTAAAATATTGCAATGAAGGTTGATAATGTCAGCATCTTAAAAGAACAGAAAAAATGATGATTAGAGGGATGAGTGGTCTGACTTTGAAAGAAATAAAAACAATAGTCTTAGAGAATGAAAATAGTGAGCGTTAAAGTGTTTATGGCATGTAAAGCATAGGTAGCAGTTTCAGGAGAAAAAGAAGAAGTGGGAAAACCTGGAGAGAGTGCACCAGATGACATGAATAAGCTTCAGCTAAGGAAAGAAGATACTCAAAACTATTTATATTTGGAAAACAGCATTATGAGAAATATCCAACATGTGCAACCACAAAAATAAGGATGCTAAAACGATAATGATAAAAATGCTGACAGTGATGTTGATGATGATGATGATAATTATGATGATAAAGATTATGCAGTTTTATCCTTAAAGAAAAAAAAGTAATAAGCTTTATTTCATTCTAATATCTTCTTGATGGATTGTAATTAATTGCGGACAAATGATACTTATGAATAAATGACAAAATACATTCCTTTAAGTGCATTGTAAAGTAATATGGTGAAGTAAGATAAAAAATAAGTCAATCTATTGATGCATGGTTGCATTTCTTCCATTTCTTTTCTTTTTACAAATATGGTTGGTGCTTAAGCAAGCTATCATCTCATGTTTCACACAAAAAAAAAAAATTGCCTTTTTTGTTACAATATCACATTTCTGCATCCACACCAGATTTTAATGTAACTGTAATTGTAATTCATTCACCCACTTCCTATTATACTGTTACTATTTTTTAATCCCTAAAAAACTTTTATTCATTTTTTTCCTTGAATATCAATCCTTTGAAATTTTCTTCATATTTTCATGACTCAAACAATTTAATGTTTTTCTACCACCTTCATATTTTCCTGACTCAAACAATTTAATGTTTTTCTACCACCTTCATATTTTCCTGACTCAAAAAATTTAATGTTTTTCTACCACCTTCATATTTTCCTGACTCAAACAATTTAATGTTTTTCTACCACCTTCATATTTTCCTGACTCAAACAATTTAATGTTTTTCATATCTTTTATTTATTCTCTTGCTCTTTAACTCTAATGTTGATCTTTAGGTAACTCCCAAATAAAATAGTGGTTACTTAGGTAACTCCCAAATAAAATAGTGGTTACTTAGGTTACTCCCAAATAAAATAGTGGTTACTTAAACAAAAAACTTAAACTAGGTAACAAATTATGAATTAATGTTGAATTTTAATACTTGTATTAGATTTAAGAAAACTGTAATAAAAATAAAATATTGAAAGAGAGTTTTGAGAATGATTATTTTGAGAAAATCAATGATAATGATTATATAAGATAATAATTTTTTTGAGGAAATGGATCAATATAATTATTGAATAAGATAAGAACGATTGTTTTGTGAAAATGAATCACTTTGCATTGGTTATATGCATCTTAGTTCATTTATTCTAACCAATTATAAATAAATAAAAATAGGTAAAAAAATTACTGCAAGAATATTAAAAATATAAAATCAAGGATAAAGCTATGTTTTATATATTTTAAATTCAAAAAATCTCTAGAAATTGAAAATATCTTTAAATTATTTGTGATATTTGACTTATTTCAAATACCATATAATGCTTCAAATATTTTGTTGAATTTTAAAAAGATTTCTGTAGAAAAAAAAAACATTTTAAAAAATGTTCAAAAAATAATAATACTTCTGCCATTTATTAAATTTGAAATATAAATTGAAAAATTCAGGAAAAAAAATTTTTCTTTAAATGACATGCTTTAACTTACTCAAGCCCTACATCATTCAGTCACATAAATTTAAAAACCTTGAACCATTTTTATTCGAATATTGAACATACCACATTCATACTTGCAATTTGTCAAGTTGATTTTCAATATTCTAAATGAAATACAAAAATTAATACAAAAAAAGGTTTTTAAAACTAAATAAAATACCAATTGAAATAAGCAGTAACTAATTTGAATTTATTTTAACACTTTTTATTAAAAAAAGATTTGCTACACAGAGAAATCAAATTTTAAGTGTTCAATGACCTCTTCCTTTAATCTAAGTTCCATTTCTTTCCTCTTGATTGTTTTAAATATTTATGCAACGCAGAAAACTTTAATAATTTTTTTTTAACTTTATTATGTTAAAATTTTTTAATATGAAAAAGTTCAGTATAATGAAACTTTTCATTTTTTAAACTATTTTTTTAATCATAATTAAATTAAATACCTTAGTACATTTTTAAAACAATGCTAATACTTTAGTTAAAAACCAACTTTGCTTAAAAATAAGGTATACCTTTATTTTCACAATAAAAACACATAAATTTATAAAAAAAATGAATATTTTAAACTAATAAATAAATCAGAATAAGCCAATAGGTTTACTTCCCATAAAACTGCACCGTGACATATAGGTTTACTTCCATTAAACTACACCGTGAGATACACTGTGTAACAGCTTGCTGTTACACAGGTATTTTATCGTAAAAAACAAGGCATTAAAGTTAATGTATTTTCAGAATTACAAATTCAATTCTAATGTACTTTATCTTACTTCTAAGATTCTCAAACTGTGTGATCTTGTGCAACTCCTTAATTTCCAGTTTGTATGGAATCACCAATACAAAAATTCACCTACCTCTTACCTTCAATAACTTCTTCCCTAAAAGGGAAAACAACTGTTACTTTTTTCAATCCATTAACAATCTGAACCTGCCAGTCTTAAAACATCATTCTGCTACTTAAAAAAAAAATCTTGGAATAAACTTCCCTAAGACCTAAAAGCTCTTCAGTTATACTATGTTTTTAAAAGCAACTTATTTGACTCTTTTTAAATAAATACTGTTAATATATCAAAAAAATTGTGTATATATGTAAGTGATTGTGTGTATTTCTAGTATTGTTAGATTACAATTATTTGTGTCATGATTATTGTTATTAATTGTATTATTACTTATTTTATCATTGTTATTATTACTACTTCTACTTTTATTATTAATTCTATTACAACTGTTATAGATTACTATTTTAATAATAGTATTTTATTGCTATTAATGTTATTGTTATTAACTGCAGCTTTTTATTTAAGAATAGTACATGTACTATTTGAAAATATCCTTGAATTGTGGTGACTATTTCACAAATATACTGATTAATTAATTATTAATTTTTGTAACCCATATAACATTCTTGATAAACATGTTATCAGTTATACAGACAGAGGGCGTAACTGTATACAGTTATATAAACAGAGGACAAAACCATATACGCAAAATTGCAGACATGCAATAATAAATATATGATAATAACCTAACTCTTACGTTTGCTAACATAATTTATTGAAAAATATTTCATTATGTTCTATGATTTCCTTGTAACATCAAGTTATTTGTAGCAAAATATTGTAGTGCTCATTACAGCTATAAATAAAAAAACAATATCAAAGCACTAAAATATAGAACAGTTTACCTTCCTATCTAAAATCACTCTTAAAATTAAAACTGGGCTTTTTAACTACTTTTCAAAAGAATAGTTTACAAATCCTATACCTTTCTACAACATATTGTTAACAATCTTGAAATTTAACACTGAGCGTCATATATTAATTTTATACATATTTCATTTTTCACTTTTTGGATGTTTTAAGTTTTTTTATTAGTGCTTTTATTATCACTATTGTTTATTATTATTATTATTGTTATTGTTATTATTATTATTGTTGTTATTATTGTTTTTATTATTGTAATTATCTTAATAAGATTAATATTATTGCTAAAACCGCTATTTTTATTATTAAGATAGATAGGTGTTTATTTTACATTAGTAATTATAACTATTTGTAATTATCCTTGATGCAACAACTTTTTAGAAAATATTTGATTTGATTTGAATCAACAACTTACGATGCAATGTTTAAAGTGTAACCATGTTATATTATTTAAATATTCCTTTTTTTTTAAAAAAAAAGGGCAAATAACCATCCTTCTTTGAAATTACAAGACATGTACAGTTATTAAAAAATTCATTTTTTAAGTAACCTTTTTTTTCTTTTGTCTTTTTTTTTTGGACATTTTAAAAATCGATGGCTTTGTTTGACTAAAACATTTTCTTTTTTAAAATCGCATTTGTCATTAACATTAATGACTGAATCCTTTTGAAAAATATTTTTTGAGGTATGCAAACAGATTTCATTAAAACTTAAATTTTCTTGAGAATTTATTTTTGAATTATTCTTTAAACTATCTTTAGTAGAAGTTGATGAATGGTCTCCAAAATTTTGGTCATCATTGCTAACAGATTTATTCAAACTGATTTTTGAAAATACCCTGTAATAAATATTATTATCTCCGGCGGCAGCATCATTTAAGAAATGGTGCGAATAGTCCTGATCATTATTAAGGCTTTTTGTCAAAAGATCTTGAGAACTCATTTGATCATTAACTGCCCCTCATAGGGCTCAATAAGGGCGGACTTTATTAGAAAATTAAAAAAAGGTTTTCTTGACAACGAAAACATTTTTTGAATTAATATAGCACAAAGTAGACTTATTATAAAATATTTTATTATAAAGAGTAATAAAACAAAGTAGATATATTTATTTAGAGTAGGAATCGCAAGTTTACTTTTTAAGTTTGAAGATTTTGTAAATAGAGAGTTTTGTTTAAGAGCCGTTTTTCCTAAGAATCAGGCAAATTCCTGAAACTGTGGAAGTAAACTTGTATAAATTGCTTGAATTTTTTATATATTGATCAGAATATAGAGAAAACCTGTTGGGGAAAAAAAAATTTTCAAAAATGTTTCGTTCACTCGGAATCTGGGCTTAAATTTTTGAGATTTTTTTTAAAAAGTTTTAGAAATTTAGTTTTTCCCACCTTTGAACCCATTTTTTTGGCAAGGCAAAAAGTTGCACATAGCTTTTGTAGTTAATATCAGACGTAACCCAAAAGCTCTCTTCAAAAAATATAAAAAAGTTGCGTGACACTGTGCGGTTGGCTAATTATCATAGTTCAAAAGTACAAAATCAATCAGTTTTGTCAATTTTTAATCGGAGTTAATTCTAGCGGCGAAGTATTGCACATAATTTTTCTTTTAGGATTTGAAATTATCAAAAGTAATGAGTCTAAAAATGCAAAGAAAGTTATGTGATACCTAAGGCCTATTAATATATTAAGGCTTAAAATTGGAAAAAAATGTTTTAGTATACTTACAAAATGAACCATTACGGCAGAGGCGCTTAGTTTTGTAAAAATGTAAACATATCCAACTGTCAATACAAAAAGGTCCTAACATAATAATAAAAAAAAATTCGTGTGATTTTGTCACACGCATGATATAACATGAATTAAAAACTGAACAAAAATCTAACATCAAGATAACTATATTGCTAATTAAATAAAACATAAATCAAACATTTAAAAATTAGTTTTTCATTTAGTCATTTACACACATTATTTTTCATTGAGTCATTTACACACATTATCCACCACATCACACATAATTTCTACTCTGCTGCAGTAAGTTTCTCTAAGAATAATGATATGACTGTATTATAGTCTTCTTCGGATAATGAATAATCGCCACAACCACTGATTAGAAAAGGAGCATTTACTAAACAGATAATTTGATCAGTTTGGTTATTTATCTCCTCGGTAGTAACTGGCCAGCGAAAAGTATTCTTCTCTTGCCCGTTAATCATACAATTAACTCTGATCCCAGTTATAGATACCTAAAAGTATTAGCGCAACATTTAAAATAATATAATAAAGAGTTTATGATTTGTTTAATTTTGCTTACATTCAATAAAACTTGTAAAGTCTTATATAATGTCATTCTGAAATTATTTTTACATTTTATTTATATTCCTTTTATTTTAGAGCACTGTTTTGTAAAACAAAATAAAAACTTGAAACTAATATATACTTTGAATAATATTACCTCCACAATATATCCAATATTCCATTGTTTTTCATATGCAACAGCAACCCAATCATTCACTTTCCATACAAGACAAATTTCTTTTGCAAGATTGGCGATGTCTTCCTCATATTTATTATCATCTTCATTGTCTCCTGTCAGATTAAAGTCATCATTTTTGCCATAAACTTCTTTGTTATCGTTAACCTGACTATTTTCATTATTTTCTGTTGTCGGTTCTACCAGCTTACCTTTTCTTTTCAAGTTACTAAATCTACAACAATATCAATTTTACATATTTTTAAACATATGTAAACAAACACACAAAATTATAACTTTCACCTAAATTTTAATTTCATATTTGTAAAAGAACTATTTAACAGTCAGAAACATAATCTAATTTGCAAAAGTTTTTATAGCAACAATGCCTACCTTGAAAATAAAGATCTTATCTGTTGGCTAGTTACATATTGATCAGGCGGAAGTTCTCTCCTCAGCTGCATGTGAACCTGCTCAGGGCTCATTTTATTACCTGATTCTTCTCCACGAATAAAGTATTTATAAAACAGTTCTTTCTGCTGATTTGAAAATCTAAAAGAACTTCGAACTGGTAATGCCCAACCTTGCAATAGAAAAATGTTCATGCAATGTGGTTTGTCTTTTACGGAAGCACTGTTAGAGGATGAAGAAATTGGCATATTTAGTTGTGAAGTAATTTTCATCTTATGAACAAACGAGTTGCGAACTTTATCCAATGATGTTAATGATTTCGGAACTGTATGAAGACCGGATAGCATGTGTTCTTCTAACTCAGCATCGCTTTCAAATGATAAAGTACAATTCATTTCAGTGCAAAATCTTAATGAATATAATTGCCTGTCACTTCTTTTCTGTTTTTCCTTAAGTGACTTGTTACGCTTAATTGAATTATCTGTTTTGCTATATGGCAACAACAACTTAATCGAGGGTTGAATTTTAAGATTTCCATACTCTTGTTCAATTCCCTCACCGATATTGAAATAACGCCACATCTTCATACTTTTCTCACCAAACTCAAATGAGTGATAGTTGCTAATGTTCTTAATCTTTGGTCCAGTAACTACAGTTTTATCATTGCTAATTTGAGCAACTGCTACTTTTGCATCTTTAGCGCCAAAACTATAATGCATAGCCTTGTGTATATCTTCAGCAGTCAAAAGATTATTACCAGAGTCAACGTAACTCCTTGAAATTGTCTTTACAACTGCACTCTCCCTGTCACATTGATCTTTTCCACAACAGGGTTCATTATAATCATATCTCAGCAACTTTATATCTCTCTCTTTGCATACATTGTAGATTGCTTCAGCTGAAAGATTTCCCTGATAGCAGCCGGCATTATCAGATTTGGTAAACATTTTCTTGATATGCGGTTGATCAATTCTGCATTGGTCTAAAACTGCAGTGGCTAACGAAACAACATCACCTATTCCCTGATCACACCTATACATTGAAGTAAAGTAAAAACGTTTGAATAACTTTCCTGCTATTTTTATGAAGAATATATCCACATGTAAACTCATTCCTTTCTTGCCAAAATACTCTCTTTGGCCCTCTCTGTATCGAACCGGAAAAATTTTTTGACAAAAATCTTTAAGCCAGAAAGCAGTTTCATCGTTTAATTGCTTAAAAGCTTCAATTTTTGCCTTTTTCTGTTGAGAATCTCTCATCAGGTGTTTTATGTAGTTGAATACATCCTTTACAGCAATTTCCAAATCATAAATAGAATCAGCATCGTCAGAATTTTGAATTGTTAGTTCTTTGATCATCTCGATAGCTTTGCATAAATCATTGCAATCGGCACATAACACTTCTAATATCTCTGAGTTGGATTGAAGATTTTTTTCAGATGGATCTGATAAGGCATGTTTTGAGCTACGAGAAGAAATGTTTGAGTCATTGACACTACAATTGGTTTGATAACTTGTTTTCAAATACCTTTTTCCTTTTTCAAGGGCAGCTTCGAGAGATTTAGAACTAAATCTTTGTGCCAATTTTTGTAATGTTTGAAAACCATTCATGCCTGAAGCAGTAACATCATCTAATCCAGCTAAGCTTTTTCGACTTGAAGGTTTTATTGCATGCAATACTTTCCACAAACTTGAATCAGATAATGGTATATAATTGTTTTCACTACAACTTTTTTGATAGAACATGATAGCGTGGCTATATTTTGTCGTCAGTATTGCATGCACTATCTTTTGTTCTTCACCGCTGTCGTATTTTAATTTGGTTATTCCATAAGCAACATCATGCAAAATACCGCTTGTAAATATAAAGTCTAAGAAATGTTCACACTTTGTTTGATCAAGACTAGATTGGACGAATACTTTCTTCTCTGGAAATGCCAACCCTTTATGAGATGCATGCCATTTTCTTGCTGTTTCTATACGATGTTTGGTACACTCAAATGTGTTCATTAAAAACTTTTTGGTATACTTGGTATGGTCTAATAATGAGAGGATAACTAACTTTCCCATGGAATCACTTTGCTTATATACTTTCTGAGCACGAATAATTTCAATTGGGAGAGGGCTATTTATTTCATCAACATTTTTACTGTTAAGAAAATTTATAAGTATTTCCTCTTGTCCAGGAGCAACAGCTTCCGCAAATTTTTTCTTTAATAAGTTTTCTAGGCGAACATACTTGCGTTTTAACTTACCTTTAGTAGTATCTTCCAGATATTCGAACTTCCTTTTTTATCTAAATTTTATTGGACTTGCATTAAGAACCTCAGTTACACTCTCACGGCTTCTTAGAGATTCGTCCAAAATCTCCTGTGAAACATTAATTTCACCGGGATCAAATTCTTCATCTGGAGTAGCAGGTGTCATATATGTTTGTTCTTGTTGTGTTTGTGTTTCTGTACATAAATTGGTGTTTTCGTTGACTTTAGATAAAGCAGTTTCTTGCTTTAAATGGGTAAAACACAGCATTGCACCAACTGAAAATACTTCATTGTATCGCTTTGACATTGATATGACGACATGTATTGGTGACGCCCTTAAAGCGGGAGATTTTTTTCCTTTTATATTTAGATGGTGAGGATGAAAGCATGTTTTTGGAGGACTCCATGCAATACCAAACGTGTACCGGTGAAAAGCACATATTTGTTCATCCTTTTCAAGATTTCTTTTAAGTCTATTTGCAATAAGTCCATTTTCTTCCCAAATATTATTATCGTTTAATCGCATGACCTAAAAACAACTTTTTAAACAATTATTAAGTGTGTCATTTAAAGCATTGTTTATAATCTGACTCTTCACGAAAAATGTTTACAAGTTTGAAATACATTGTTGTTATTATTAAAATACAATATTGCAAGAGTGTGATTAATTTAGTGATTATTTATTAAAAGAGTGAGGAATTAATTAAAAGAGCTATTTTTTTTTGTTTAAAGAACTTTGTCTCAAAATCTTATTGCAGAGAAGTTATAAAGTATGTAATTATAAAAATTATATTACAGTCTGCGTAAATTTAAAATACATAATTACCTTTAAGTTGATGAGGTGTTTCTTAACATCAACATCTCCGAGCTGATGAATGTAGAACATTTTTTTTATAATTTTATGTTTTTTGAATGATCCACAATTTCCTTTTGAAAAGCAACAACAGTTTTCATAAAAATATTTGTTTTGTTCCATACTCAACTAAAAACAAGTTCTATTTATGCAGTACCTATTTCTCAATAGCAATGATAAAATATCTACTCTATTTATGCAAATTTTAAAGATCGTTAAAATAAAGTTAAAACATTTTTATGGTAAAGTAAACAACCACCCACTAACTTGTTTCTCCACAATCGTGATATCAGCGATTCTTCTTCCATTCGATCACCACAAGTTATTTGGTTATGACGTAAATTTAAATAATTCACTTCTGATCATGTATTGTTTTTTATTATTATTTATTTCAATTGTTATGATTTCTATATCTTAGTCAGAAACGCTTAAATTTTTTCTTAACATTACGTGCAATGTTTTGTGTAATGCTAATTGCTAATTTTGGATGATAGAAATTTTATTGTGAGCGAAAACCTCATCTGTGTGTCCAAAAAAATATCTCTTCGTACTTAATCATTTTTAACAATTTGTACCTTTATTTTTAACTTAATATCTAAAGATCACATGAGTTTTTTTTTAAACTATGTTAGGGTCATCTTATATTGACCATTTAACATGATTATATTTTTACAAAACTTAGCGCCTCTGCCGTAATAGCTCATTTTGTAAGTATACTATAACATTTTTTTTCCAATTTCAAGCCTTAATATATTAATAGGCCTTAGGTATCACATAACTTTCTTTGCATTTTTAGACTCAATACCTTTGATAATTTCAAATCCTAAAAGAAAAATTGTGTACAATACTTCGCCGCTAGAATTAACTCCGATTAAAAATTGACAAAACTGATTGATTTTGTACTTTTGAACTATGATAATTAGCCAACCGCACAGTGTCACGCAACTTTTTTATATTTTTTGGAGAGAGCTTTTGGGTTACGTCTGATATTAACTACAAAAGCTATGTGCAACTTTTTGCCTTGCCAAAAAAATGGGTTCAAAGGTGGCAAAAACTAAATTTCTAAAACTTTTTAAAAAAATCTCAAAAATTTAAGCCCAGATTCCGAGTGAACGAAACATTTTTGAATTTTTTTTTTTCCCTAACAGGTTTTCTCTATATTCTGATCAATATATAAAAAATTCAAGCAATTTGGAGGAGGTCACTTCCATTGACTGCCTGATTCTCACAAAAAATGACTCTTAAAAGCCAAGATATCCGCGCAATTCATTGTTACAAATAACAATAGCAAAACAATAGAGAACAGCTGATAATTATTTTTAACTTGAGTATAATTTTACTTGATTTTGCGTCAAAATAACGATAGTCTCGCCTAATCAATTAAAAAAAAAGATTTATTTATCTATTCGAAAAAAACCCGAAGGCCACTAATACTGGAGTATAAAATAACAAATTTTTTAACTGAAATGTTAAATTGTATCAAGTGATGGAAAAGTTTGAACAAAATTGTATCAACTTGAACAAAGCAGTACAGCAAGACGTTTCTTAAACATCGAGACAGACGATGCAGACACCACATTCTCTGATAAACTATTCCATACATTAACAATTCGATTAGAAAATAAACACTAAGTGCTGTTTAAATTACAATGGTGTTTGTACAGTTTAAAGTTATAACCACGATTATTCAAGTAGGAATTAAGAATAAGAATATTTGATAGGTCAGTGTCCAGTTTACCATTTAGAATTTTGTAGCAAAAAACTAAATCTTCAAACATTCGTCGATATTTTAACGTTTTGAGCTTTAGGATGGTCAGACGTTTATCATAGGAAACTGACCACTGACCAACAACTCTTTTAGTAAAGAAACGCTGCACACTCTCAATTTTATTAATCAGGCAGTGTAAGGTTATCATACTGAAGAGCAATATTCCAACATAGGTAGTACATAAGTACAGTAGGCTTTAACCATCAGCGATCCATCTCGTGAATAAAAGGATTTTAGAATAAGATAGGCTCTTGACATAGTACGTTTGTACGACATGTACGATTAGATTGGTATGTTGATTAAATTCAAGATTCCTACCAATGGTAACTCCAAGATCTCTAATACAGTTAACATGGGCAAAATCATGGTTATTTATGGTATGTTTTGACTCTGGTTAGCAACTGTACAGACAAAGGATTTTTCAGTTGATGTTTGGAGTTGCCAAGTACATCTCTATTTGTACAAACGATTAACAGCTGTGTGAAGATCTGACTGAGGGCGACGTACATCATAGACTGAATATAATTTAATATCGCCAGCAAAAAGTTAAAACTTGACATCAAGCTATTTATTAATGTGGCTCACATCATTGATAAACAATAAGAATAGTGTGGGTCCTAGAACACTCCCTTGTGGAACACAGCTTGTTACAGATATAGCGTGGGAAATAATATTGTTTAAATTTACCGCCTGTAATCTCATGTGCAGAATTCAAAAGATTGCCAACTATTCCGTAATTAGATGATTTCATTAGTAACTTAAGACTGAATCGAAAGCTTTCTTAAAATCAAAATAAATAGTATCTGTAGGAATACGGCGCTGAAGATTTAAAATCCAGTCATGGATTCTCTCAAGAATATTAGTATGGAGACTCTCTAGAATATTAGTACAGGTACCACATTTACAAATAAAACCATGCTTTTCTTTTGTGATTAGGTTATTGAGTAAGAAATAATTTATCAGCTTGTTATTAATGATTCATTCCATGACACAGTGGGCCAGAATCCCATATTTTTAGAAAAAAAGTCATAACTTTTTTTCCTATCATCCATAGGCCTCAAAATTTGGTTTATAAAGTATTGGATGGTTATAATTTGAATAAGCATGATTTTTTGTGGTTGCCATGGCAACCCCAGTTGCATAGCAACACATATTTATGCTTAGTTCTAAAGGGTTATTTTTAGTTAAATGTTTCTAAACTTGGTATGCAAATCAATTTGATGATTGTAACATGATTGAGCAAAACTATTTGTTTTAATTTACAGTCTCACTTTCATATAGGTACACATTTCCAAAATTATAAAGATATAAAAGACACATTTATAAACTAATATCATCTGTGGATGACCTCAATAGTTCAATAACTCCAGCTGGTAAGTCTTTTGTTTTGGTGTGACTTTCTGCCGTCTTTCTCAGAGTTGCAATAAATGGATCAGATGTACACAGAAGTCTTGGTTAGTTTTCACTCGAGATGAATTTCTTAAAAAATGTTCACGATAGTTTTGTAAGTCTTTATTTAGTACTTCTTGAGCTTCTTTAGAATACATACCAATGGGTAATGCTAAAATTTTAATAATTTTAAAGCCACGGATTAAAATTTTGTGGAGAGATTGTGACATATAGTACCAAGGATAATGATGAACATAAAATCAAGCTGTTTTTAAACAGAAAGCCTCAAATTTATTAGTGTCAATGTCTAAACCACATGAAATTATTGCCAATATAATATATAAATTTAGAATCAGTTCAACATCAATACTTAAAATTTCTGCAAACTTTTCCGCATTTTGAAATGCTTTTCTAGCCGTATTTCCATAGAAATACGGCTATGGAAATAGTGGAACATCAAATGGTGCATTATTTGATGTTCCACTACCACGAGATTTTGCTACATCAATTATCGAACCCATTTCATCTTTAAATCTATTTTGAATTTGTTGTTTCATAGTCTTTACTTAAGATTTATCTTCTACTGTTCTTGCCTGACACCTTTTCAAAGTCATTTTATATCCAATATGTAATAAACATTCAAAAAAACGAATCTGCCTGTCATTTAATTTTTCAAAACCGCTTTTTCAATATCATTCATTGCTTTGGGACTTGCCCCACATATAGTACAGCATTGACTAGAACTTGTAACATCTGAAAGAGCAGTGTGAACTTTTCCATCAATCAAAGTAATTTCTATTATATTATGTGTTTAGATTTTTTTATTATTTATATCAACTTCAGTATCTTAAAAGTTTGAAATCTTAAACCTAATGAGATCCCCTTCTGATTTAGAAATTGCTGCCGTTTCTTTTTCAAATTTAAAACGCAGAGGTCTACAGTATATTGTTGATGATGGTTGTGGATTTTGTCAAACTGGGTACCGTTTTTCATTTGAAAAGCCACACAAGTCCAATGGCACTAGGCAAGCAATAAAAAGTGCCTGCTCATTGTTTAAATATCTTGTTACTGTTTCTTGCGATATTTGTTTTTATATAGACTGTCCTGTGGCACCATCAAATCCTATTTTGTATCTCAGAGAAAGTCTATCGGGAGTGCCTTCAATGCTAAGGACATCATACTGTGCCTTACATATTCTATTTGCTGTATGATCCACCAAAGCTTGCAGTTTTATTTCAGCTGAAAATTCTGAGACAGATATATCTGCAGGATAGCATAACACCTATGCATTCCAAACATTATTATATGAAGGATATATATCGATTCCCTTCCTAATTTGGTAGGAAGCTTTTATCAATCTAGCATCTAAAAGAAGACAAAAATCTTTTGAATTCTACAATCTTTTTTTGAGGTTTTTTCAATATGATTTTCTTTTCTCCGTTTAATCTTTAAAGCAAATTGTAACGCAAAAGCAGAATACATTTCAGTTAAGTGACTAACTTTATGTTTCTTAGTTTTAGTAGAGTAGTCATTAAAGTTTCCATTAATTGGTCTTCCAATAGGTATTGGTGTTACATTTAAATCTTCAGGAACATAGCTTTGCAGCCATTTTTTATTCTTTTCTTCAAATCGAGTAATGCTGCTATTTGACTTGCGCCACTTATCTCGTAGATGCGTTATTATAGTTCTTAATTGCTGCTTGTTGCAATCCATATTCATAGCATCAATACTTTTGTCCGCAATACCAGATTCAGATATTTGTAGATTATTAGGCTTATGCATAATGAATGCATAGAATGCAAGCTCGAGATATTTATATTTTTATTTTAATGTGATAAACATTTTTTGCTAAAAAATTGCAATAACTGGAGCCTGGGAACACAAAAAAAAAAACAACCAGAATGTAACAATAGTTTGAAATTAACGAAGATGATTATTAGGCTTTCTTATATAAATACTGTTTTTTTTTAAAAGATTAACAGAAGATAATTATTGATGTAGTATTAAATTTTATTACATTAAATGTTGCAACTACTTCACTACGAAGAAAAATTTAAATATTTCATAACACCTAAAAACTCTAAAAAGTTTTTAAATAAATAAAACCTTTTCATTATATGATCAATAAACTCAAGCGAAATCTTTACATGGAAAAAAAAAGTCAGTCATAAAAAAATATCAAAACAAAATTGTAAGTAAGACAAAAAAGGTTAAGATTTCCGACAAAAATGAGAAATTTAAAAGTCCTTAAAAGAATAGTGAAAACTTAATGTAGAGAATAGAGACAACAAGTAATCTATAGTTCGATGTTGTAGGTAAAACTGTAGATCATTTATAAATGATCTACTGTTTTACCTCCAACATGTAGAAACTTGGTTTCGCTTTATAGTATTCATTCTTGCATTCATTCATTCATATTCATATTCATCATTCATATCACATTTTAACCAAAATATGATTTTTGACGTCTAAGTTTTATTAATAATAAGTTATTAAAATTCGAACACGAATCAAATTTAAAATTTTAAAACAGTTGAGCTATTTCTGATTAACTATAATGCATTAATTTTAACAAAAAGTTAGAGTTTTATGGGTAATTGCATTTTCTTAAAATAGTAGTTAGAAAAGCCAAAATATCGGAAAAACGTCGGTTTATTTCTTTAAACTATTCAGAAAAATGACGCTAAAAATTATAGCTCGCTTAGGTTTTTGTTTACTCGCGACGCCTAATCTGTAATCGCCTTAGATCTGTAACAATGCGTTAAACGTCCATCTATTTCTACGTCCTTGGTCAAAGCATAGTCATAGTATGTAACTAGTGTGGAAACGCGGGCCGTTTTCTAGATTTCGTAAAATAACTTGAACTTTAAGGGATGACCGGACTGAGAGTGCATCAAATGTTTTTAAAATTACTTTTTGTAGCGCAGACTATGAAAATTTGAATAAATTCGATGCTGTTTTAGCTGCTATTGAGTTGCTATTTGTTAAAGGCAGATCTCAATTTTAGTTCAAACATTAGACTACCTATTTTAATTTATCCTAACCAAAGTGAAGAAAGAATATTTATGTGTTTGTTTTGCAAGAAACGATGTATATCACACGGTGACTCGTCACCTCAACGCCAAGCACAAGATTACTGATAAACATTTAGTAAAGAATAAAAGAAAGCAAAGATTATTCTTCATCCTATTAGATTTTATAATTATTTAATCAAGATTGCAGTAAAGCTTGCTTCAGATAAATGGTACTTTGCTACAAGCTGACATTAAAAGTTTAAGATAAAGTATAAATATTTCAAGAAGAAGTCATTACAGCTTAGTTCCTAGTAAAAATGTAACTGATTTATTTGATTGAAATGCTGAAATTTTTTACCGCTGATTAAAACATGAAAGAACATGAAGCAGCATTCAAAACATGAATGCTTTCAAAGCATGAAAGAAATTGTTTTTTTCGGAAAATATTTTGTAGAATCAATTCTACAAAACTTTTTCTAAAAAAATAATTTTTTTTCATGTTTTGAAGCAACATATCTTGTCTTTGTTTATCTGACTGGTACCTCTTTTATCAATGATGTTATAACATTTTAGTACGTATCCCACTACATTACTTAACAAAACATTCTATTGTGACTTAGTGGGAATATTTTTGGTACCTCTAATTTTACAATTGGTTTTGATTCTAACATGTCTAAGTTGTATAGTGAGCAGTGTTCATTGTATTTACTTGCAGCTAAGTATGCATGATCATCTAACATTTTACAAACAAGTTCGTAGATTGTACATTGCAAAATAAAACCTGAAAGCTTTCAAAATTCAAAAAAGTCAAACTGAATTGATATATAAAGAACATCAATTTAAAAACACCCTCTATTTTAGAACAAGTACATTAAAGAGAAAGTGAGATAACTTGAACCTACTAAAACGGCTATTTTCATAGCCACATATTTTTTAAAAATATTATTGGTATATAATTAGCTCCTAGAGTAGTACAATAAATGCTTCATATATATTTAATAATTTATGGTGTAGTAACTTTATAATAAAAGATTGAATAATACAAATATATAATTGTCTTTTTAATTTTAAAATAATAATGACAACACTACTATTTCACATATATAAAAAATATTTATGACTTAATACTATATTACTATCACTTGTAGTACCCGTGTAGCTAAATACATTATATTTCCAGCTACTATAAATACTGTTTATTTTGTTATTATTGAAAGTCATTAAATGATGGGTTACACTTGCAATCACTAAGTGATTGTTAATGTTGGAAATAATTTTCAAATAAGCTATTCCATAATGTAATAAAATTTTTAATACAGCAAAAACTTATTACTTAGGCAGAAAGGTTAACACTTTTTAATAAATATTTTGTCAACTTTATATGCTCAAAAGTAAGTTTAGGTAAAATACAAAGGCAACATTCTCTGTCTTCATAGAATATATAAGCAATATGGTTCTACTGTATAAACTTACCATCCTTACATATATCTTTTTTTTCCATATGTTTTAAGTTGGATAAGTCATATTTAAATAAGACAGTAACAAGTTGTCTTATTTTAATGTGGTGGATTAGGCATAAACGAATCATTTAAAATTCCTTTTCAATAACTTGCAATTTGCATAAACATCGCAAGTTACAAGCAACAACTTTTAAGAAATTTAGTTAGCAAATTTTGATTCAATCAATCAATCAATCAATATATTTTCACTTTAATAATACTGTATATTAAGCTATTGCGATATTCATAAAAGTCGATATTGTCGATACTACGATATTACATAAACACAGTATCGAACTTCGATATTGAAACTGGATATATTTTTACTGAATTTCGAACTTATCGATATTCAGTTCGATATTTTACGATATTATACGATATTAAACGAGATTCTAGAATTTTAGAATGCTATTTTTGTGTTCAAGACCCATTTTTTCTAAATAGAGGAATTTGAAGGGTCTAATACCGTAAGTTATCTTCAATATTTGAAATATGTTTTAGCAATTTGGAAAAAAAATTATAGCTCAATTAATTGTATATTTTTTCATAAACAGTTTTACAAAACAAAAATTAGTCTATCGCGTCAGCTGATGAAACATTTTCTTCCTCGATTAGCCATTTTTTAATAGTAACTTTACTAATGTTGATTTTAACGTACACAAGTTTTTCTATTGTCTCGGCTTTTAGTAAAGTTCTTTTACATGACACAATATTTCCGGCTTGTGAAAACACACGCTCTAAAGAAGTTGATGACGCTGGGACACACAAGACTTTCTTAGCAGCTCTAGACAAAATTGGAAGTTGAGGTGAATGAATTTTCCACCATTCCAAAATATTGTAATTTTTATCTGGAAATCCAAGCCTCTTGTAAGCTTCTAGTTCTATATCAAATGGAGAATCTTTTGATGATCTGTAAAGCTCAGAGGCATTAGAATCCTGACCCATCATTTCAAAAAGAAGTTGTTCGGCAGGAGACAAATCTTGTTTGGGTGACACTGTTTGTGTTGTATTTTCAATCAAATTTGATGGTTGCTTTCCTATTGAAATTTCTTTTAAATCTCTGAGTGCGACATCGTCTTGGCCAAACCTTGTCAAAAGGAGACCCTTAAATTTGGGATCAAGTAAGTGAGCTAAAGCATTGTTTTTTTGTCTTGAACCACAGTCTGGAAATCGTTTGTTAAGATTTGAAAGGAGTTTAGAAACAAAGTCTCCTGTAATTTTGTCATTTGGCAGTATAAGCTTTTTAATATTCTCTTGAATATCAAACAGTCCTGAAACAACTCTCTGAGAAGTTGGGATTTTTTCAGATGAACAACCTCTGTAAAATTATTAAACAGTTTCATGATCGGCACTACTTTTTCAATAACATCAAACTCATCAGAAGATGGAATTTAAGCCCTTAAAATGTCGCCCGTTTTAAGGTTGCTGCTTGCAATTATTTCAAAAGCTAATCGTAAATGTAATATTGAATCCATGCACATAAAACCACTATTCCAACGTGTAGGACAAAGAGAAATAATTTTATTAAATTTGATTTTCTCAGGTATGACATCATTACATGCTTCCATAATTCTCTGTTGACTGTTGATTGATTTGTGAGTTCGTGCTGAGAGTGTTTTGCACACCTTGAAATAAAAAATTATTTTGGTTAAAAAAAATATATAAACAAAAAAAAAAACATAGGATTTGAAAGTTATTCATTTGTTGGTTGCACCTTTATGCAGGTAAATGGTATTGATGCATTCTTTAAAGTTTTTTACTATTGAGAAAATAGACTATCGCATTTTTCATAGTTTCGTAAACAAGAGGAGAAAATGACTAAACATTTTTTTTTACCTGAAAAACTTTTTCAATCTCATCGACTTCTTTGACAGACTTGATAATAACAAGGTGAAGTAAATGTGCAATGCAGGAAATACTTTCATCAATTTTGGCCAATTTTTTTCATCCCAGATATCATGTTTGCTGCACTATCTGTGACAGAAGTCATTTTACAACCATTATTGAAAGGTAGAACAGAAATTAATGTGTCTGTTTTAATTGAAATATTGTCACCTGTGTGGCTGTCTGGAAAATCATTACAGCCCAGCAAAAATGTCTTTAGTTCAAAGCCAGTTGTAATATAATGAAGCGTCAAGGCTGCAAATGACTCATTGCTTTTGCTGGACCAAAGATCTGAAGTAAATTCAACTGCATCTACATCTTTTAAGTCATGTGTTAAAACATTAAGAACTGCCTCAAAAACATTAGAATAAAGGATTGGAAATTTGTTTCTTGAATATGTTGATGGTTCTCTAATAATAATTTCTGGACAAAGGCTTAATAAAAAGTCTTTAAAAGCAGGTGATGAAACATGTTGAAAAGCTAAATTTCCCATGCACAAATATTTCACAATATCCAAGTCAGCTATTAACTGTCGCTTGTCGTTTGTTCCATATTTTGTTACAACCTTGCAATACGATGAAATGTCCATCTTTACTCTTTTTGCACTTAGAGCTATTGGCCCATGAGTGTCCAAAATTGATTCTTGTGCAAGTTGGTCAGCTGTTGTTTCTGGTGCTCGTTTTAAATTTTCTTTCCCAATGTTGAGAAAAATTTCATTATGACAACCTCTGATGTGAACCTTCAAACCAGTCGTAGTGCTCTGTTTGGTGCCTATTTGTGTTGGGCATAGCTTACACTGAGCAATATCTTTTTTTGGTGTGTCTCTTAAAAAATACGCCCAAAAGGGACTTACTCTTGGCATTTTCAACAAAATCACAACTTTTCTCACTTATAACTTCTATTAGTAACTAATTTTGAAAAAAATATTTATAAGGTTATATCAAATGTATTTGAGTATTGAACAAAAATTAAGACATCAATTTTTGGTAAAGCTACAGTTAAGCGGCCTAAAATAAATTTACTGTTTCGCTTTTTGCGCTCTCGTTCGTAGAGACTTTAAAATATTAACAAAATATAAAAGCAAAGAAGATTTATTTTATTCTAATAAGAGCAAAGTAAATTTATTGTTTAGAAATAAGTTGTTTGCGGAATTTAATGTTTTATGCTTTATTTTATATATTGTTTTCTTATTATTTTTTATATATTATTTGCTATTATTTTTTTTTTATTTTATTACTATTATATTATTTTTTATTTATAAAAATTTATTTATTATTATAATATCAAAACTTTGATTATAATTTACCTTGATTATAATTTAATTTGATTATAATTTGATTATAATTATTATATTTAATAATTAAACTTTGATTATAATTTACTTATAATTTACTTTGATTATAATTTATATTTACTTTGATTATAATTATTATTTATTTACCTTCAACTTTAATATAAAACTTCAACTTTTAAATAAATTTTTTAATTTCAAATTCACAACCCGTAACATTTATTATTACATAACATAATTAAGTTTCGCTTTAAAAATACGCTCCATCGTGTTTTTAAAAAGCGAAAAAATATAATTATTTTAGGCCGCTTAACTGTAGCTTTACCCAATTTTTAATTTACACTTAATTTTTAGCATTTTTAATTACTTTTCAGTTTGGCGGGAAAGTTTAGCTGGGAAATTTTAGGAGGGACAGTTTAGAGTATAACAGTTGATTTTTATTAAAGTTTGAATATTAGTATCGATATTTTAGTTTGAATATCGAGAATCTTTCGATATTGCTGTGAAAGGATATCGAATAATATCGAAACTTCGATATTATTAAAAAAATTACAATATCGACAATTCAATATCGAGCCTGGTCAAAATGTCGATATTTTAGCATGTTTTGATACTACGATACTGATATCGCAATACTTTACTGTATATATATACAATTGTGCAGGACATTTACAAACAGTTATAAACTGATGACGTGTAAAGACCTATAATGGTATAAATAATAACATAATAATAATAATAATAATAATAATAAATAACAATAATAAATATTATTAATAATAATAGAAATAAATAGTAATAATAATAATATTAATAATAATATTAATGCAGTAATATAAAACACTATAATCAATATATATTTTACTACTATAATCAAAATAAAACATTTATAGCAAATAGTGATTATCCTTAATAATAAAGCAAAATAAAAATATAAGAATCTTAATAATATCAATAACAAAAAATAGGACAGATAAAAAGTAGGAAAAAAAAAAAAAAAAAAAAAAAAAATAGTTGAATAGTTGAAAAAAAAAAATAGTTGAATTAAGCAGGGGCGATTGCATAGGAAATAGTTTATTGTATATTTATTAAATGTTAGATAGTTTAATAACAATGCCACAATCTTTAAGAGCCATATACACTATATCGGATGATGAAAATAAGGTATTTGATTGCGACTAGATGAACATTTATATATTTTTATGTTTTACTTTTAGAGTTTTGTATTTTTTATTTTTATTTTTAGAGTTTTTATATTTTTATTTTAATTTTATGAGTTTTATATTTTTATTTCTATTTTATGGGTTTTATAAATTTATTTTTTATACTTTTATTTTATTAAAAATTCAGCCACAAAGAATGACTAGGGGGTGATAGCATAAATGATAGTTCATTGATTATCTTTATTGAGGAGAAACTTTTTTACATGGGTTATGAAGGCATTTCTATTTGTCATTTTGGATAATACTATTTTAGTTTCAACAGGAAGAGAGTTCCAACAGTGAATTGATTCATACTTGATTGATTTTATGCCATACTTATGCGTTAGTTTTAAAGGCTTAGAGAGACTACAAAAATTGCTTTCTAAAGCAAAATAAATATTTGTCATGCAGTGGCACCAGTTGTAAAAGTCAAGTATATTATCTAGATTAGTAAAGTATATCATCGTACACTGCAGCTGACTTTGAAAGTAGATAATTAACATGAAATATTTTATTTTAGTTGAAGATAACCTTGGATTTTGAGATATTATATTTCTGCATTCAACAAAATAGATATTAAATTATAGCTTAAAATCAAGATTTGAAATAAAAAATTTTTATATACATTGTGATTTTTAAATAGAATTTTGTAATCTTCTTTTAATACACTGTACTTTTTTTATATTTAAATTAATTTTGATTTATATATGATAGTGATGTAATATTTGGAGCAGACTTTTGCATCATCTTCATTACATCAAGTATATTTTTCTTATTTGCTATTATATAAATTGCAATACAGCATAATAAAAACAAAAATTTATATAAGAGCTATTTTTAAAATATTCTAGTTTTTTACTTATTAATAAAAATAGAAAAACATTTTTGCACAACATTTATTGTTAGTATAGCACTTGTAAAAAAGGTGATATGCACATAGTAAGGTAAATCTTCTACCTTACAAGGTAAAAAATTATATCTTTAAAGGTAAAAAAAAATTTTCCTTGTAAGATAGAAAATTAAACAACAAATCATTTTTAATATAATTTAGGTTATAATTAAGATATAATTTTTTCTCTAAGGTAGATAAATATGCTGTTTTAAGAGTATAAAACCTATCTTTAAAGATACCAACATTATCTAATTTAGCTTTGAAACTATTCGAAATGATAAAATTGTACCTGATTTGTTCTTGTTACCAGAAAAGATACCAACATAGTGTAAAGAGTGATATATAAATTATCAACTAATCCAGCTAAGTAAACTATATATAGAATATAGAGTTTATTAAGCTCTATTAGCTAACATTATAAATAAATATACTCTGAATATAATACAAAGCATTTATACCCATATACATCCATCAAATTATACAGTCGATGAAATGTTTGCATCGATAACATATTTTCATATAGTATATAACTTAAATGTTTATATGATATAAGCTATATGTTTGAATAAGCATATTTATACCACTACAAACTCTGTCACATAACTACATTTATCAACAGTTGATGTCATTATTTTATGCTATATTCATCATTTTTATTCGGAATACGAAATTTATATGCAATCCAAAATATTAACTTGAAACTGAATAGCCAAAAAAATCACAATTTGTTCATGCTATTTCAATATTTATCCCAGAATATATTTAACTTGTCTATAGCGAAATACAATGTTTACAATTTGATGTACTCTAAAGTAGGCTGAGCACTAGTTTAGAGAGGAACTTAAGTGTTTTAAGAAAACGGCCCGCTAGTTAAATACTATGACTATGGTCAAAGCATAGTCATAGTATTTACATACTATGACTATGGTCAAAGGAAAACTTTTTAACGTTTCGCGTTTTAAACGTACGCTAGAAATCGTATTTTTTACCACTGCTTAAAAACGTAGGTTACATGAATAATTAAAGAGTTTAAAACACTTACTCTTGTCTTGAATGATTTGCTTTAATACTTTTGAGGTTAACGTCTCCAAATGTCATCTTTAAATATAAAGTTAACTTTTATGAAAATTTTCTAGTAAGATTGCATTGATTGTTTATAGAGCAGATTTTTTTTAGAATTATTCATTAAATTTATTAAATAATAAAAAGTTTTCTTAATGATATTGTTTAAACTAACAAATATGGTTTTAATAATAACTTGAAAATTTTTTTAAAACACAGTTTAGAATGTTTCATTTTACAAGTGTAGCAGTTGAATTCTAGGAAATAAAAAAATTCTTTTTTATTATTATTAGTTTTTTTTTGTAAATACTTTAAACTTAAAAATAAATCATGAAAATGAATGACTTAAAACGCGCGTAGTTGAAAATTTTTCATACTTAACGTTTTTAAAATTTGCCGTCGTAGCAAGTTTGCTAGCGTTTGTACTAACACCGCCTGGAGATAACGCGTGTATGCTTAAACCACTGATCTCAAAATGATCAGTGAGATCAGTGAGATCAGTGGATTAAACTTTCTAATTGTAGACTTTAGTATTAGGATTTTGTTAATTATAAAGTGTAATATAACAAAGTAGATATATTTATTTAGAGTAGGGATCGTAGGTATACAGCTTAGGCAATCGGTCTAGTTAAGGCGATTTACACCTATTTTTTGAATTCTTTTATTTAGAATTAGCATGATTTTATCAGCGTAATATGTCCAAACAAGAGCTTTAGATGTTATAATTTTTTTTTGCTTCAGGTTTTTTTAATATTTAAAAAAACTTTTTTTTTTTTTTTTATAAAATTTTCAAAACCTTTTTATTACATCTAATAATAAATCTAAAGAACACCATTTCCGAGTCTATAAATAACTTTCACTCATCGGTGTTAACATGAACTAAGTTAAAATCTTTTAAAAAAGTGCCTTAACCCATTATAGGTTCTAGTTCTAATCGTTTCTAACGTATTTTGACTATATATAGTTGTGAAAATACAACATTTCTATCAATTTTTACAAAAAATACCAGAAATCTGTCTAAGAAAGAGCATATAATTAAGAAAAATTGCCAATAAACGATCAGAAAAGATCATATTGTTAAACTATGATTTTTGTTTCACCTAAAAAAACGTATTTATTTAAAATCTTATTGAAATTTGGACAAGCGATTGTGATTTTAAGATAATTTTTTTTTTTTTTTTTAATAAAAAGAAATCTTAAAATCAAAATCATTTTTCGCATTAAACATTTATATTTTATGAAGCAAAATTTATTATTAAATTTTTTTGGTCTTTTCATAATTCACAGTCCTGACCATTTCACGGAAATATTTCGTTGTCAACAAAATATTATACAAATTTTAAAATTGCCTTAACTACACCGAGTAGTAGGTAAAACGTAAACAACGAACCGCAAACTGCAAACCAGTTAAATGC